TGGCAGAATTGAAATATAATCAAATGTCAAAGAAAGTTAAGGAAGTCCATGTAGAAGGAATAATTTGGCTTATTTAATGTTTTTATGTGCAAATAAATTCAAAATATGTTCTAGTATAGGCCTACCTTAAAAGTCGGTTGCCCATATTACAACAACCATCTTGAATGGGAGAGTTCAAGAATATTTAATCTGAAGAAAACCATTGATTCATCTACTATTGGGACAGATGTCTGCCTAAAAGTTACATAATGCTTTTTCATTTACTCACTAATTGTTTATTTCAACATTTCATAATTGTTTCCTAACTGTTTCAGAGATGTAATATCTTTAATTGACACATCTTGAACTTTGTATTATTTTGCAAGGGACTGTCCGACCACCTTGACATTTCGTTAGAGGGCAGACACCTAAATGTAAAATATGATATTTTCTTTTTATTTTGAGATTATTTCCAAAAATATCAATAATATGCCTTATCTACTTGTATGTATTTATTAACATATTGATTTGCAATACTGATGTAATTTCTGTATTTACTGAAGTAGACTTCTTTTAGGTTATCATTTAGAACATGCATATTGGCATTAACATGTATCTCTAGGTTGAAAACTGATGGGGGATTTGTCAGTTGCAGTGTTTCCATGACCTCTCTACTTGATATATCACTTGTTTTCTTTGCCTTATCAGAACTAGGAAATTCTCATTTTTTCTCAGAATATCAAAATAGTGCTTGTTTGTTCGTTTGTTCAGAATCAAAATCAAAAGTTCAACTTTGATATCAAAGTCAGAGGGATTGGTGTTATTTGAGGATCTAGGAGGATATGATGAAATAAATTGTTTAGGTAGAAATTTATCTATATGAACATCAATGCTGATATCTCATCAAATAATCCAACTTGGTGAGTACCAGGGATCCCACGAATGATTCATTAAGCTGAAATTGAGGTTAGCTATATAATAAATATTGAATCCAGACCCTACACAAGTTTTTATATGGAAAAAATATGTCATAAACTAAAAACCTGAATCGTATATTTATATGATATGCCTCTAAAAATGCCTAATCTCTAGATTTTATTAGAATGTACGAAAGCATCTTTAATTCATCAGAACTGATGTAATTTTCAGTCTACATCTGTGTTTTGTTACTATAGCAACTGTAACTGTCTAATAAGAGCTTCAAGAAATGTCTTACAGATGTTCATTAGTTCAATAATTTCCATATTAAGGTTATCTGTGCCTATGCTTTAGACTGTAACCATTATTTCAAAACAAAGTAGGTTTTTCTAAGGAGCAACTTCATGTATATGTGAGAGCTAGCATGAATCAAGTTCACTTTACACATCTTTTCTGTTTTTAATTTGTACTTGTAGAATATGCCAACACTTCTCATTTTTCAAGACAGTATATAAAACTCTATATCATTCTTGTAAGTTTTGCCTTAAGGATGCAGTACCGGGTCGGTTTTCACGTCTGTTTGCGCAGGTTTGACTTCCGGTTTGAGAAAGCTAGCTCCCAAGAACGTCATTTTCGCATTTAGTCTTATTCAAAAATTATAGTTTATTTCGATAATGGTGTTTCCAGAAAAGAATTAAATTGCAAACATTTTATCAAGCATATTTTATCCCTTTCACTTTTATGGGAAAATTTGTTCTTGAGTCGCAATTAGTGGATACGAAAACCGGTGTTCGAAAGGTGCCAGCTCTATTGAAAACTCAAAAAAGTAAAAAGATTCATTTTGGGTGGGTAAAATAATGTTTTTATTTTGTAATTACCAGACTGTCAATCCTCTTCATATTGCACTTGGATGATGATAACATCATAGTGATACATTGTAAAAAATATGAGCAAAATCTAATGTCTGGAACTTTTTCTACGCTGACCTGGTACTGCATCCTTAAGGTAGCTAGAGTAGAATCATTAACCTGGATTATTGCCTTGAACATTTTACATGTAGGCTTGCAAGCTTGTTCAAAAGGCCTACCTTAATTCTTGATACATTTATACATTGTTAGATTGTTGTTCTCCGTCCTGTGTATAAGATGGGTATGAGACCATGTGGTATTCTATTTTCTATAAGGCCAATTGAAGGGTTATCTTTATTATACTCACTCCAATATTCTTATGGGTAACATTTTATGATGGCTATGTATTGGGACTCCTCTTTGGAGTTTTAAAAATGTGTCAGATTATCGATTACCATTTGGGCAAATTTTGCATTCTTGTGAATTATGAATTTTTTATGAGACATAAACGAGTTTATTATCATATTGTTGCTAAACTGAAAACTCCCAGATTCTTAGAATTTAGTTTCTATGATGTCATGTCAGATTGACCTTTAAGTGGCAGTTCTCTCACCTTAGCAGATAGTTTTTTCTTCATCCTTATTCCACTCTATTTCTCTCCAGAAACTAATATTTTCACAATTTTTTATGTAGTTCATAGTGTGTATCTCGTGCCTGTTTACTATATTTCATTGATAGTTCATTGATTTTATATTCTATTCTGTATTGAAAACATGACCCACCCATGATATGATATGCAACTTATCAGAGGATGTTATATTAGACCCTGAGTATCAGCGGTTTCATTGCTCTTTTAGATAATCTTTGACTTGGAGCTGAAATGAAACCAATTAGATACAGCCAATAATTCTCAAAACATGTTTTTTAAACATATACTGTTTCAAAATCCATATGGGTCCAAAACCTCTTATGATTTTCATAGTATTTCTTCAGAAAGTTTGTTAGTTGCTTAAAAGTCGTTGTATGCTGATTTTGATTGGGAGGTTTGAGGCACCTCGTATGTTTTACATGAGATTCAACATATTTTTGATCTTGTATAATGGGAACCATTTTATTAAATTAAACAAAAAATTATCGTGGATCATTTTTATATTTGACTATATTTTATTTTCATGATGCTACAAATAAATATATTACAAATAAATAAACATTCCCGATATTACTTTGCTCCATTATATACTATCTGTTTGCTCTATCACATATCTTAAAACTTGCAAATATTATGAATCTGAAAAGCTACCAAAATGTACCAAAAGATGGATTTTATAAGGATTTGTATTTCAAGAAAACTAAGTTGAGTTATAGGGCCTTAAGTCAAACAACTGTTTTATCAGCAATTATTTCATGCTAGAGAGTCACTCTAATGAAATAGGAGAATCTTATGAAATGCCTAGTTTCTTCTAGGCTAGATTATTAAAGTCAATACTGTAACATTAAATATGCCCCTAGTGACGGCTTATTCATACTAGACATGTCTATGAACATGAGATATGAGAAAATATGATGAAATATGCACTTTCTATATCGTGATCTTTGAAGTCTCATATTAGGGGAAGAAGGTTTCAAGAAAATTCAGATGATCCTTTTATGGGTTTCAGACAGATAAAAGTGTATGAACCGTGCTTTAATTAATATTGGAGTAAGGATAATTCCACTTCTATTAAATATCTGAATAAATTATATGGTTTTGTAAGATTTTTATTCCTTGCCTTGCTCCCTTATTAGCTCATTTTGCTTTAAAAAATGATAACTTAGACATCTGACTCATAGTAAGGCAACTATAACTACTTACTGGATGAAATAAAAAAACTCATAAAGATAGAAAAAGATAAAATTATGCTAGATATTGTTGCCATAGTAATGCTATTTTATGCTACATAGATACATTCAGAAATAACCTTTTTGCTGAGACCTTTTTGAGCATTTGGAAAAAGTCAACATTCTTCAAATTTAGTTCCATGGGAGACCAAAGCATAATTAATCATATTTTCCAATATCTGCAAATGGTTGGACAAGACCTGAGATCCTTGAATTACCTGTTTCCTATTGGAGTTGCATTACATTCTCTATTTACCCTGCGCGCAGAGTCTAGTAATAAACTACGAAGACGAAGCTCTCTTTTAAGAAGCGAATGCAAAGGGTATTCTGTATAAGAGACATTATGTGTGTTATGACATGTTATGAGAGGTTATAGAAAACATGAATATATCTTAAGAATTCTTATTCCATAACCTAATCAGTGAAAAAGGTATATGATATCATCAGAGGTCTACAAGTCTTCTCAAGGGCTATTCACTAGACATATATTTTACAATCATAGGCGCCAATGTTCGACACATATCATCAATATATTGTCATTAAAAATTTATATAATTAGTTCTCCTTTGTAGATTGCTTTATAATACCTTGCATATAGAAATCAACTTCCTTAAATCCCTCATGCCAAAAATATCATTCTAGTCATCTTAAACCAATTATTTTTGCCTAAATCAATTTTAAAGCTCTTGATTTTCTTGTATTATGGATAATTATCTAGATATGATATTATTCTTTTGCAAATTTCTGTCTGTTCTACATTATTATACATTTAGGATGAACTCCCATGATACTCCTAATGAGGAGAGCATATCATGTGCTAAATGAGTATAATGGTGGATCTACATGTTATATAGCATGATTACCATATTGCAACAGCAAACAAGAACAGCAAGAACAAACAAGAAAGCAAACAAACAAACAAATAAACAAACATGTAGCATCTGTGTGTGCTATCTGGTCATAATGTATCATTGTAAATAAACAAGTATGAGATAACTAGTTCTAGTAATTTCTGAAAATAAACTCTATAACCATATTGCTACATTTTGTTTATTAACCTACTATATACATAAAGTACTTGGAAGTATCTTGTTTTCAGGGAATATATACTATGGAAAGTGTCTTTCCCCATGTTCTTCAGTATTAGGCATGTGATATGGAGGCTTGGGAGCTACTGTCTGACTGTCTCTATCTGAAAATGTTAACTGGATTTCTTGAAAACCTTTAACTTTTAGGAGTTTTTTAAGAATTTGTACAATTAATTATCAGCACTTTTTTCCAAATCTCAAGATAACAAACTAAGAAATATGTATGTATAAAATAATAAATTTGCAAACAAACAGCATAGTTTTAACAAAAAATTATTTGTATTTGCAGAGTGACGGCAATGCAAGCTTCTTACGGGCTGCGAGGGCAGGAAACTTGGAGAAAGTTCTAGAATACCTGAAGGGCAGCACAGATATTAATACAAGCAATGCTGTAAGTCAACATTAACTATATATTGAACCAAAGAAAAAATTACACTCTGGAGTAAGTCTTTAGCCGTGGCCATAAATGCTTGATACCTTTGACAGTATCTCAGAAAGTTATGAAGGTATCAACTTCAGTTTGAGTTCTAGTGAACCCCAATGAACAGCGAATCTTTTTTTGGCAAACTCTTTTTCTCACATTGACTTCAATGGAAGTATCTAGTTTATATATTTAACTATATTTAATACTTCCTTGCTAGAATTTTGACAACAATAAATATTAGCTTCAACTCTACTATAAACCAGCATCAGAGTTGGTTTAACATGTACCAGTATATATTGTATAATGCATAATGCATTATCTGCTCTTTTATATCACTGTGTAATGGATTGTTTATGCAATTGTTTTTTGTTACTTGATGATGGTACATAGCAATGATGAAACAAATAACAAGGTCACTTTATATACAGAGATGCCTGTTAGTGGAACACCTCTAGTAGTAGACACCTCTGTTGCAAGAATACTTTTAGAGTTCCAAGACCAACTGACTTAATGTCAAATTAGCCTCTATAAGTGGAACACCTCTCAAGTGGAACACTTTTTAGAGTTCCTAGACCAACTGACTTAATGTTAAATAAACCTCTATAAGTGGAACACCTCCCAAGTGGAACTCTTTTTAGAGGTACCACATGTGTTCCACATAGACAGGTTTTACTGTATACCTCCCAGGCTGTCTTCCAAATACCTTCAGAGATACAAAAACATTAGTATATATACATACTTAGATGAAGTACTAAAATTGTAGCAATATAGATATATTTGTGAACCCTTTACCAGGTTTAGTCCAAAATTGGCCCCTTATCTTAAGATAATCTGAGCGTTATATGGAAGAGAGAATTTACTGTTTTTCTCCCATTTGTTTATTGATAAGGCATCCCTGTATCTGCTGAGCAAGTATGTTACTGAAAGTACGATTGGTTCTGTGTTCATACCCATATGCATTTTACTGATGTCATCATATTTCTTACCTAGGTGTTTGTGAAAGATAAAGGTGTCATGAGTTTCAGAATGCATTGTGAAAAGGAGAATGTTTGCCTGTCTTTGTGACAGTATCTGTATTATTTGTAATTAAGGAAATCTATAACAAATAACAGAAATCAAAAAAGATTGGCAATATCTCAAAATATTTTGTGATGAGCTATATACCCCCTTTGGTGTCTTTATCATTTCTATGTAAATATGTTTATTTGATTTAAAAAATTTTTTTAACAAATTTAATGTAGATTCATACTTTCAAAATAGATTTCAAGGAGTGATAAATCTAGATCAGGGGTAATTATATGATTTGATGAAGCTACCTTCCTTATGACAGAGGTTGGGTCAAAATAATATCAATGTCCATCAGAGTATAGTTTAATTGAAATTGCTTTTATTGGGAAAATTCCTGTTTCTGTCTAAATTCAAGATGGAATGTGGAATATCTCCGACATATGTTTATTCCTTCTGTAGTATACTGCTTATATACATCAATCTCTACTCAAGTGGCTGTATCCTAAAGGTGATTTAGATTGCGATAAGTACTGGTCAACATGCTATAGTCTATGAGAACTTCATGTTTTGGCCAAGCATTATCTCTATTCTATATCTTTAACAAAGAAAATAGATTGCTTACTCATGGACTAGGAATATCATCATAGAGCTCTCTGTTTAACATTGTCTGGAGCTGCCTGTTGAAACATTTGAATCCCAAAGGCTAATTACTTAACTTCTCATTAGGTTAATTATGTTTGGTGAAGCACAGTATATATATAAGACAGTTGCTCAGGTCTAATTAGATCTATGGTCTCAATTAGAGGGCATAACTAGTGTCAGGTTTTTGTCAAGATTACTTGTATTGGAATCACATTCTAAGGTATTCTGGCTTTCTAAGATTATATTAAATATATTGACGTGGCTACCTTATAATTGCAAACCATGGCCTTAGTTTGTAACAAACCATATATAATAGGCAATCTATACAGTGTGGTAACATGGTCTTTTTCGCCTCCAGTGTTTATTGAAACTGGTACCGTATCACTGGCGGATCCAGAAGTTAACCAGGGGGGCCACATTTCAAGTCAGTTAACAAAAATTTTAGGCTCCTAATTTGGCCCAAATTTTGAAAATTTAAGGCCTATGTTTGATAATTTGGCCTAAAAAAGACCAAAAAGGCCAAGTTATGCCTAGAAAGGCTCATTTTTTGAAGCCCAACAAAATTTGAGGGCCTTACAAATATTTTCTTGGCCCATTCTTGCCCCCCCTCCTTCTTAAATATGTCCACTTTGTCAAAATCGAGTTCAAGGTTGGTTCCACTTTTGGTACATGGAAATGTCATACTATGCTGATTTTATTTTAGAATGGCTTGAATGCACTGCACCTGGCTTCCAAGGAGGGACATGTTAACATAGTTACAGAGCTGCTAAAGCGTGGGGCAAATGTGGATGCAGCTACAAAGGTATTATATACAGTATATAGTAAGGGGGAATGTTATGTATATCTTTTGGGGAACTGATTCATCCTATACATGTACATGTACTTCATCCTCTACATGTACTTTGAAATGGATTGAATTCTTAATACTAAAATTGGAATTTTTTTTATAATTTACATTTTATATAATAAAAGCTAGAATTCTAAAATAATGGGATGACACGGGTATAATAATTATACATAATTATAAAATCCTGCGTCTAATTTCTAGAAAATCTTATTTATCAATTACTTTTTAATTTTCTATCATTCTTATATTATCTCCACTTGTTATGAAGTATAAAATGTTTATGCTTTCAGAAAGGGAATACAGCCCTTCACATTGCCTCCTTGGCTGGACAGGAAGAAATAGTTAAGATATTGGTACAGAACTCTGCCAAGGTTAATCTACAATCTCAGGTATTTCTCTATTATGCATATTTGTGATTTAAATTGCTTCTGTAATGTAAGAGGATTCTTAATATTATTTTCTTAACATGTGTTATGCAATTAGAATAAGTTTTATCTTAGCAGAATCTTAGCATTTCACTTGACATGCTAATTTGATTGGCAACTTACTGCAAATCTTCGTCTTCCAAAGGTTGCACTCATTTGAGAAAGGTCCTGTCTTTAACCTGTTAAAAGTTACTTGTGACAAAAAGCTCTAGAATTGTTTAATATCATTAAAAAGGTATGATATTTAATATTAGGTGCAAGATAAGAAGCAGGAGATATTTCCTGTTTTCAATTACTTGAGTTGAGGCTGAGGTCAGACTCTAATCAAGCTGCTGAACATACCCACAATCAGAAGCCAATCGATAAATTATTATTAATTTTGTCTGCACCATAAAGAAAGCGTTAGTGTCCTGAAGATGGTTGATTTCAAGTAATAGACACTGGGAACAAAAGCCAGATCCTTTGATTGATTCAGTAGCTTTCAAGTATGTCTTGTAATACTTTGAGATTGGACCCTTAATTGAAGCACTATATTGGCTGAAAAAGTGCCTAATGACCACATGACTCAACAGCAATAGGTTCAAATGTAGCCAAATCTTGGAAACTCTGTTGAAATGTGTGAAAGAAGTAGAAGCTACCATCTGTTAAGTGCTTTAGTGGGCATCTACCTTTTTACCTTTGGCCCTATATCACTTGTAAAGTACTCAGAATGGTGAAAATCTACATGAATTTGGAAGAATCCTTGGCTAATGGGGTGTTTTGCTTGAACCCCCCCCCCCACCTCTCTCTGGCAATGGGCCTGATATGTTAGTAATATTTTCTATTGTATGTCACATTTCAGAATGGATTCACCCCACTTTATATGGCAGCCCAGGAGAACCATGCAGCTGTGGTGAAGTTCCTGTTGGCAAATAATGCGCAGCAAGGCCTGGCAACTGAGGTAAGTTTTCTTTGTATAATAACCCACAAAAGTGTAATGTCAATGTTCAATTTAGTTTTGCAAATAAGTTTGAGGAGTCTGAGCCTTTAATAACTCATTTTACAGAAACCAAAATTGATACATGCCGACCCAATTCCTACCATTGAATAATAATCATTTTCATGAATTTCATTTTTTTAATTACTGTAATGCCTGTCTACTCTTTTTCGCACTCATTTTACTCTTTGCTCTTACTGGTCAGTTACCGAGGTGGTATATTGCTTTTTGTGTATGCGTATCGCAATACCAATCTCAACTCCTTTTTCTTGAAAACTGTTCACTGTGCATTACTGATTACAATGTCAATAAATGAAGGAGACAAATCTGTTTGAATTTTATACCTTATAATCTTTTACTGTCAGTACCATCTGTATTTTTATAATCCATAGGCATCAATAATGTTTGTACCAACAATCTCTGTTTCTTTTGATGTTGATTAGGTATAACACTAAGGATTTGTGGAGTTTCCTAGACAGAAATTGATTTTGTACTTTAAACCAGTCACTGTGACATTACACTTTCAATGCTTTTCTTGTCGAGACATGCATAATTAGCTTCAAAATATTAATCAATAATGCATGTTATAATGCATGTTCCACGTTCATATATTGTTTTGTAATAACACAAATTTGTAAGTGTTTTGTTTCTGCATTAAATGTCATATTCTTTTATGATTGTATGTGCTATAATTCTATTGAAATGTTTCTGTATTAGAGAATGCCTAATCCAGAGCAGGTAGTGTTCATCACACTATTATTTCACTACAAGTGTTCATCACACTATTCGTTCACTACAAGTGTTCATCACACTATTCGTTCACTACAAGTGTTCATCACACTATTCGTTCACTACAATTATTCATTACACAAATAATTCAATACAAGTGTTGACAAAGCATTCATTGCACATATTCATCACATAATATATTCACGACAAGCGTTCAACACCACGTTTTACTGCAAGTGTTCAACACACAATCTGTTCATTACAAGTGTTCATCACATAATGTTTTACTGCAAGTGTTCAACACCATGTTTTACTGCAAGTGTTCAACACCATGTTTTACTGCAAGTGTTCAACACACAATCTGTTCACTGAACATATTGATTACATGTGTTACTTCAAGTCTTTATCACTAATGATCTCTGGAACTCCTTATATAAGAAAAGAGCTTTAAGATGCTTTTTATTTGAAGCTTCTAGCTCAATTTTGAAGGAAGTTGCATCAATCTTTGTAAAATTTAAAACAAATCTCTTGTTTATGCAAAAATCGCACCCCCCCCCCTGACTGAAAACCGAATTTTTTTTGGCGATCCAACTCCCCCCACCCTGACTGAAAGCTGGCTACGCCCCTGATACATGTATACATGTGTATGAGTTAATCATATGCACAATTGGTTGACACGTTAATCTGTTTGAATTTTATTTGGTCTTAAGCAAATTCCAATTTTCTCAAAATCACACTACTGTTGTCTATCCTAAAAACCTGAGAAAAGAGCAGCCTTGTTTGACTAATCCCGGTAATTTTGTAGACACATATAAATTTTTTACCTGGCCAGGTCTTTGAATTTAGGTTTACAGTAGTAGCTGTCAGCTGTGCTATTGGAGAATGATTCAAGGAACAGTATGTCTTTGGTAAACTAAAATATGGGTTTATATATTACAGGATGGATTTACTCCACTAGCAGTTGCCTTACAGCAAGGACATGATAAGGTTGTTGCAGTGCTGCTGGAGAATGACTCAAGGGGCAAAGTCAAACTCCCAGCTCTTCATATCGCAGCCAAGAAGGATGACACAAAGGCCGCTGCCTTGTTATTGCAGAACGAACATAATGTTGATGTCCAATCAAAGGTCAGTAATGTTTCAGTCCTCGTGTATTTTCTGAAAATGGAATTAAATATTTGTTATTTTATTCACTGCAATGTTTCTCATCCTGTTATATACATGAACACTCCCTGGACTGAAATGAACAGTAAGCATAACAGGAACATATCACAGAATATTTTATGTCATGTGACATGTGTTTATCCAATCACAGAATGAGAAACGTGGCATTGAGGTAATAATTGTAAATACTTATATGATACTGCAGTCTGGATAGGGTTGTCACAAATAAGTAACATTTGATGCTTACATAAATACAATACAATGAGATTTACCACAAAAAATAATTCATTGCTTCATTTGAAAAATGTGTCTTTGAATCAAAATTACTGCATAGATTATTTCACAAACATTTCATATTTATTAAATTCTATGTTGACGCTGTAATATTTTTTAATTCAAATTGGAAGTGATCCGCTATACCCTTCTTAATTTATACTGACAGTGACATCTATTATTACTGATTTCTGAATATCCTCAGAAAGGCAAACTGCATAAAACATTTAATTCATTCACCAGCTTTTACTCATTCAAATCTCCCTTTACCTGTTACTTTAAAGCACATGTTTGTATAACCTTCACAAAGTGCTATGTATGCTGACCTCAATTGTTGAACTCAAAATTTTTGACTTCACTACCTCTATGATATTGACCTTAATAATATTGACTGTAATATTGTTGGAACTTTTTTAAGTTCAATAACTGACCTTAATAATGATACTGAAAATGTTGGGTGTTTAATGCGTTACAGAACGGAGGATTAGTCAATGATACAACAAAGGTTTGTAATTTTACCCTTGAATAAAATGTCAATTTGTTTATGCTTTAAAAGCTAAATAAGGTGAAATTGATGAGGAAAATGACATGTTATCAATGTGTAGAAATAGTCAGAAAAATTTGGTAGTTTGTTCACATAGAGAACTTTTAGCTGGAATAAGCACTATCAGATTGACATTTTAATCAAGGATTATGCCCCATTTCTCTCCTGGAAACAATCCTTTGTAAATGGGTAAGGATCTGGGTCAAACCTTGGCAGTTTTTTCTACACATACTCACATATTATTATTGAACAGTTAGATATATAGTCTTGCATTGAGTTTCTGTACCCTCAAATCTCACTTAGTTTCAGCAAATAGTGTAGAGGTTGGGTGGTCAATGACTTTGTTCTGAACTTGTTTAACCAACCACCTCTTTTTCAAGTTTTTCATTGATTTTCATGTTGTTCAGAACACCACCCTGTTATTTTGTTACCTAGACAGCACTATATACTACTTTGCAGTATATAGTTTTAATGTATATCTACATTGTTGATATACAGAAAACTATTTATGTGTGACATATTTGAAATTACTGTTTGAGATTTGAGGAGATCCGGATACTTGTGTTTTATAAGCTAATTATAAAAACTTAGGCATTGATTTGATAAACCATAGGATTGTTTCCAAAATTAGTATCACATGCATTATTGGTGTGTATTCGAGGTATATATTTGAATTCAGTACATGGGTATAGTTGCTATGGCAACACTGCTTTACACATTTGTTATTCTGAACCACCTCCCTCCCCTTCCATCACGTGTATGTGGAAAAACTGAACACCAGCAAGCACTTAGATCATCTATATTTGAACTAATAATAAAATCAAAATATTTATTAGGAATATTTTATTGGTCTATGTTTGTAATACGTTAATTTACAGTAGAAATATGATATGGTTAATAGTGATACATAAATGAAAGTGTTTAGATATCAAGTTCCAATTGTAAGTAGTTCTCTCCAAAGAAGAATATTGCGACGACTGTATATTTTTTCTAATTAACCTTTCCAGAGAAGAAAACCATATTTATTTCTACAACTATTTGAAATTCCCTTGAGGCAATTCTCCAAGTTCATGGATAGTTTAGTCTCTATTTAAAGGATATGTACTCAACAATATACAATGGAGAGTGTTTTTAAAGAAGTCTTGATAAAATACATCATTCTAAGATATCTATTTAGAATATAGGTTGGTGACCTCCCTCAGGAAATTGTTGTTATTTTTGGCAATTCATTGATTATCTCAGAACAATTATGTTGCATAACAATGGGGTTTTAATATAGATGATCGTCTAAGAGAAATACTTGGTTCCCTCACTTGTATCACCCATGAGCCCTACACATGTACTTCTATTGTTTCATTTCATATAAATGAGTCAGTAAAATATGAAGATACACTCAGCGATGATATAACTCTACTTATCTTCGAGTTTTTTACTGGATCAGTTTGTATTATGTATTTATATTATAAGGTCTTATGTTTTAGATGATCACACTTCCATATTTTTATATTGTATAGATTATCTAAAATTAATTGTTGAACACATTTGTTGTTGTGGTTATTATATTTCCTTATATGTTTCATTATTCATTATATCAAACAGTATTTTGAAGTAGTGGGGTGAATTTTTGTTTTGTATATATTTTCATATATTGTGATATATTCGTTTTACTAGTGTATCATTTTGCATGGTTCATATGTTGTATACAGATGTTTTAGGTTATTCTTGCACATAAATTATCATTTGGATAAAACTGAATAGCAAAAAGATTTCTGGGAATTTCAGTTACTAACTTGAATTATAAACAATTGATTTTATGTTTGAAGTATTATTGTCCATGAATTTGCCAGGGTACAGTTATACAAATGATTTCAAGGTTGAACTTTGCTGTACAAATTCAAGACAGTGTTAAATTGAGTCATTTTGGGAGCTTCATTTTTGGGGTTATTCAGTGAAAACGTATAGTTATTAATATTGATGTACCATGGTATTAGTCCCTCCATGTTATTTATTCAAAATTGGTATTCTGTCCAAATCCCCGATATGTGCATGCGCCAAACATAGTACAATCAAATTGAGTACCCGAGACATTAAAAATAAATTTCTGTTTTCAGAGTGGTTTCACTCCCCTTCACATCGCTGCACATTACGGCAACATTAACGTAGGAACTCTTTTGGCCGACAAAGGTGCTGACGTCAACTACCAAGCAAGAGTATGTATTGATTCATTTCATACAAGTTTGATTGTTGGTTATGGCTAAATACTAAGAAAGGATATATACTGTCGGGGAATTGAAGTAGACTTCAATAAGGGCAAGTAGTGTAAGGGGACCTACTGATTCGGCAATTTATAGACAAATGGGAAGGTTGCATTAAGACTTTATAATTGTCATAGCATTGCTTAGTGTGCAGTAAATAGAACTTTAACTTCTCAATTTAATTCATAAATTTATTTGCTGTTTAGAACAACATCGTACCACTGCACGTTGCATCTAAGTGGGGACGAACAAACATCTGCACTCTACTCTTGGATAGAGGGGCACAGATAGAGACAAGAACAAAGGTGAATACATCGATACAATATATTGACATTAAGAACATGTATTTAAGATATTAGATTCTTGTATATTGAGAACAAAAGCGAATGCATCAATACAATACATACAACATTGAAAATATAAGATTTGAGATCCTTCTATGGCAAGACTTTGGTTTGGGTTTCAGTTGTAAGAATAAAATTGCTGTACCATTTCAAAATTGTCATAAAAATATATCCTAAAATGATATATTAAATAATGTTTTCATGGAAGAAAGCTATTCATGAAATTGTTTTAACTTTCAAGCCTTAATTATTAGCTTTTATGGAAGATCCCCACATTGTTCAACTGCTCATTGTGTTTCAACTGCTCATTGTATTTCAACTGCTCATTGTGTTTCAACTGCTCATTGTGTTTCAACTGCTCATTATGTTTCAACTGCTCATTATGTTTCAACTGCTCATTGTGTTTCCAGGATGGTCTAACTCCACTACATTGTGCAGCAAGAAGTGGCCATGAGGCTGTTGTCGATCTTATGCTGGAGAGAGGGGCACAACAAGCAGCTAAAACAAAGGTACCATTTTTACAGTGTGAAGATTATTTATATCCATAGTTAATTATCTTACTCCAGTAAAACTGCTGTAAATTTTCATAAATAAATGAAAAAATTGCACACCAGAGCAAACCTGGTGTAATCAATAGCCATTGGTAAAGATTTTTGATATGTGTTTTAACTCATCAATATGCATTTGTTGCACTAGGTTTAATTAGGTGTGCAATTTTTCATTTATTTTTGATAATTTTACTGGAGTATCTCTGAAACTGAGAATTTTGAATGTATTTGAACAAAACACCCTTATTGGGTGTGCATTGTCACATATAACATATACATGACATGCTAAACAAACTGAGTGTTTTCATAAAATCCATTTGAATTGGCAGTTCTTGATACAGTAATGTTCCTGCTTGTATACTTAACTTAACTAATTTTAGATAAAAATTATTAATCATGTATCTATTTCTTCTTATTCTTGTCATAACAATATTTTTATGTTAATATTCTTTGTTTTTAGAATGGACTCACGCCACTTCACATGGCTGCCCAAGGTGACCATGTTGACTGTGCAAGATTGTTGCTCTACCACAAGGCACCTGTGGATGAGGTTACAGTGGTAAGATATTAATTCACTACCAGATCCCATGGTCCATCTCTAGTCAAATACCCCACCTCAATATCCCAACCAACCATTACTTCAAAGTTTATAACTTGGCTTAGTTATCTTTGCTTGTAAACTCCGTAGGGAGAATAACTAAAAAATTGTATATCCATGAATGCAGTGGGAATTAAAAACAAACGAGGACTTTGAATCATGCTTAATGGACATAACTGTATAAAGTAGGATGCAACAGCCAAATTTTGAAGTTTTAATGTCAAAGTGATCCATATTGTGATTATGAATTATCTTAATGTGAGAACATGTTACTGGAATATCCTTTAAGATAGCTTAAACTTACCCACTGTGTTTGGTACTAAGAAAATGAAGTTCAACTGGAAGAGCAAAACTATTATATTACCTATTAGAAGTAATATGTAACTAATTTAAAAAGTGTTTATACAATGTGTTAACCCATGGTTATTCTTGCAGGACTATCTAACACCTCTCCATGTAGCAGCCCATTGTGGAAATGTAAGAACTGCAAAACTCTTGTTGGACAAGAAATGCGAGCCAAACTCCAGGGCACTGGTATGTCTTTTAAAATGTTATCGACACTATTTTTGTGATTGGTATTCTAGAGCTAACCAAAGTTTTTAGTCTAAGTTAATCTTAAATTGATGTCCTGTTTGAGAATCCCTATTCTTGCCATTGAAAATAGATTCCAGCAATACTCTCCCATATGAATCCATATTGTTGAGACTCAATCAACTTGAGTTCTTCAGAGAAAATGAGGATTTCAGCAAGGGTGTCATTGACTTAACATGGGCATTTAGGTGGGCACCACATTAATCTTGTCATTGTTATTCAAGGGTGCCATTGACTTAACATGGGCATTTAGGTGGGCACCACATTAATCTTGTCATTGGTATTCAAGGGTGCCATTGACTTAACATGGGCATTTAGGTGGGCACCACATTAATCTTGTCATCCAAATTCCTTACTTGATCAATTTGATAATTTTATAGGTCAATGAGCAGACTAGTTTCAAAATCTGATAAGGTTTAGGTATGCTCGGAGATTATAAAACAACTCTCTGTTCTTTCAGAATGGATTCACTCCCCTTCATATTGCGTGCAAGAAGAACCGCATCAAGGTAGTTGAACTCCTTCTGAAATACCTAGCCAACCTTGAGGCTACCACAGAGTCTGGCCTCACCCCCCTGCATGTAGCATCCTTCATGGGACACATGAACATTGTCTTGTATCTACTCCAACATGGTGCTAACCCTGACACGCCTACAGTTCGTGGGGAGACTGCACTACATTTGGCAGCAAGAGCTAACCAGACAGACATCATTAGGATTCTCCTGCGTAATGGGGCACAGGTTGACGCTAGAGCTAGGGTGAGTTACAGTCTTCCATCCTTCTTGGGTTTTAACATTTATAATGTTTAAAACTATTTCCCTATGTAAGACAAGGAGTTGATTGGAGGGCTTTCATTGCTTTTGTTGAAACATTGACTGAGATTTTAAAACTTTACAGTAATTTCATGTTTCATCCAAAGGGATAAATAAAAATGAATAACTCCATATGACAAGGTACTTACTACTACTAGAACAATTGATGATATCATTGACCATTTAGATTTCACATGGCACCACTTTGGGAAGTTCAATCTCTTTAGAAAATATAGATGGCATGTTACACAATGCAGAAGGCATCTTATGCATTATACAGGGTGGTCCAAAAAAAATTGGAACATTTGTTAATTGAACGCAAAACATTTATTTTTCCTCTAAAATGCACCAAAATTTTACTGAGCATAGGTCAGTCACGTATTTATCTGATGTAAAGTTTATAGGTGCAAACCACAAAGTTAACACCTTAAACTAGTCAATGTTTCATAGGACCCCCTTTTCTCAAATATACACTTGTCAATTTTGCTGCTACCTTTTCAAGTAATCTTTATGTCAAAGCTTTAATGAACATGATGCTTGCTATACTTGTTTTATAAAATCATATTCAGTTGTTAAGAGGTCTTAACATCTATGGTTTACTAGAAAACTATTGTGTTAATGCCAACTTAAAGAATGCCCAAACTAATTATTTTTTTATTTAAGAGGGAAAAGGGAACATGTCAGGTGTGAGCGATTGCATAACCCACACAGCTGCTAAAGTGACAAAATCATTGTTTCCACTTTTCAGTTAAGGCAAAACTGACCAGTTATTTACAAGGCTTTATTAAAGACCAACTCTAAGCACATATAATATATCATTTCTGTTCTGGGAGACTCCTTTATGATATTGATATTCATATATATTGATATATTCGAGGAATATTATTCATATTAAAACAATAAAGGGGAGGAGGCTTCATTAACCAGTCAAAACTGCCCTTTCTGGAGAAGAATATTCCATCAGTAATACACAAATTCACCCAACAATAGCCATCAAAATATGCTTGATGCCAAACAATTTGGATAAAAAATGTTGAATATGTTACTAGACGTGATCTTCCAAAGCAAAGATATAGGGGGTTTGGTCAAGCTGAAATTTTTTATCAAGATGAATTTGACAAAAACAAACAAACAGCAAACTGAATGAATAATTTCAAAACTGTGTCCTGGGCTGGAACTTGTAATTCAGGATTAGAGGGGTCATATAAAACATTGTCTAGTTCAATGCATTAATTTTGTTGTTTGCACCTATAGACTTTACATCAGATAAATAAGTGACTGAACTATACTCAGTAAAGTTTTGGTGCATTTTAGAGGAAAAATAAAGATTTTGCATTCAATTAACAAATGTTCCAATTTTTTTTGGACCACCCTGTAGATACACCATATTGACTAGTTCAAGGTATTGGTTCCAATGAAAGTCAGTGAGGATTCGGTATAGTCAAACATTTAGGCTAAAAGCTGGATGTTATGGATGTTGGGAGCATAAATCAATAGTAAGTACAGTACTACATACAACATGTACTGTACTCTATAAACTCAATATGGACTCATGAACCATAACATATTGGAATGTTTGGGGGTACTCGAATGATCAAATCATCATTCATTTGATAACATCAATATTTTTCTTTGTCAGTAATAATTACAAGTGTGGAATAAGCAAGAAATGATGTTCAATCAATTACAAGTATAAAAATACCAAATGATAAAAACGTTGAATAATTTGTTCATCATTATCTGAATTTATCTTGACACAAGAGGATTTAGATTGAAATAATTCAATTTCAGTTTAACTGGCATGGGTTCTCAATAAACACTTATGTGTCAACACTGCTCGTGTTTTATTAAGAAAGATGTTGAAATAAAAGTGCTAGCTTATTATAACTTAATTATTTTCCCTAATAGGTTTAACATGAATTTCTGTTTGTAATTACTAAACTTACATTTTTCATCGGAAAACAGAGTAATGTAAGACTATTGAGAAATCATTTTCAAGACAAGGTTCAATTTCAAAATCAGTTTACACATGTTAAATTGAGTCAAAACTTAAGTTATTTGTTTTGCATCTACCAAAGAATGAAGAAATAAAATCATACATACATGTAAATGAAGTGAATGGCTGCCATTACTACGATGGGTAGAAAAGCAAAAAATAAGAAATTATATAAATGGGACCAAACTCTTGGGGGGCAGGAAAAGAGTGTTTTTTATGAATAAATCTGAATGGAATGAATGAAGCAAATAGTGAATAATAAAATTCAATCAATCAGTTCAGTTTGGATGAATTCATTTGTACATAAAAAATCGAGAAGTTTATATTCTGAAGTACAAAAATATGGAAAATATCAGAATTAAAAAAGAATCTGGTAAAGGGGCATAGCATGGAACAATTAAGTTGTACATCTATGGAAATTAGGAATTTATGCAGCTTTTCATTTTTGAGTAAACAGAGACGAGTAAGCGTGTTTGACAGACACTTAACCGATGGGTTCTCTTTCTTACTCCAATAATCGAGAAATCTCAAAGGAATAAAACCAATCAAAATTTGACAACCAAAGAACATTCACCAGAATTCACATAACAATTATCTTTCTTAATACTGTATAAATGTGTATCTGTATATTTCTCTATGATAAAGGAAGAAATCACAAAAGGGAGGCTTGAGCATAAATATTTGCCAACATTTGGCTCCTTTATTCCCAAAAAGCTCAATGAAAGACTCCGGAAACGATGTTGAAATTAGCATGGAATAAGATAAACAAGCAATGAACATGGAATCATGGAGTGGAAAATCATGAGTCAAACATTAATAATTGAGTGACTGGTAGAAATTGATCATTTGTAAATGGAACAATCTTATAAACTCCCAAAGGATATGACCTTGACACTTAGGTATGAAAATATCAAATCGTAATCCTAGCTAAATTGAATATCTCACATCTAAAAAGTATGACCTCAAAATATGGATCAAAATTGGCAAAATACATGCAATATGTTTTGGAATTTGGAGGAAAGCAGAAGTTACAAATTCTTTCAGTTATATATGATATCTATACAACCTTGAATAAAGAAAATCATAATAAAAAGTATATTGCTCTAATATAGATGAAAGGAATACAAGAAATTCACACATTATGTAAAACCAAACCTAAAAGTAAAATTCCCTTGTGACCATGTTTAAAAATAAGAGGAAAAGAGATGAACAAGCAAGGAATAAAGTAAACAGGCATTTAATCAAAAATAGAAATTGTAGAAAACTGCTAAAAATCATACACTTTCATCAAATTTTGAGAGAAACAGAGTGAAATAAGCATAAACAGACGGCTATTCTAAGCAAGTGATTTGATATATATGGCAATGTTATGGCTTTTGATGACTCAAGATATACAGATTATATGATATAATTCATTTTAAAGGATTATTAACATAGATAATTTGAAGAGCCTTAAGTATATTGATATCATTTTATGATGGATACATAAATATAAATATAAATATCACTTGCATCATCATCGTTGGATATAATGCATTGAATCAAGTAGAATTAATGATATAGGATTATTTTCACATAGGACACATATATTGTGATCATGTTTTGAAGGCATAAAAAGATTAACAACTTAGATATATTATCTTTATGCAAATGGATTTAGATGAAAACACAAGTGCTGGAGTTCAATTAGATGTTTTTTTAAAAATGATTAATTCAGCAAACACTACAAGCTAGTAATATACAAATAATTATATTAACAGTTATACCAAGACTGTTCAGACATTAAACTTACAAATACAAACCAAGTTACACAGGTCAAATAATCAGCTTGTTCGTTAATTTTTATCAAGTTCTTCTCGACCATGAGGTTCACAGATACTTAGAAGTTGTTCTTATCAGCTGTGGCCCTTTGAAGTTCCAAGACTAGGATGTTCATAAAATGGAGTAAAGACTATAAGAATGAACAGGCCAAGACATATAACATACAAATTACACAAAAAGTATTCATTCACTCTGAAAAAAATATTGTGAAAAATAATACCTGTAGTTGTTATAATTTGAGATAAATGTTGTGTTTTGAATATTGCAGTCAGCTATATGTGATTTCATACTATCTGTTAACCATTCATGTGTTCTCCTTTTAAAAAGGTCATATGTAAGAATTTGTGTCAAAATCCCTGCAGAAATCACCTATTTAACAACATATGAAATTTGATTTTCTTTTTGAAAAAAATATTGATTTATTTGTGAGGGACTTTATTTTGCTACTTTAGCTAATTTTTCATGAAGAATCTGATGGTCCGATAATTATGAATATCAAATCATTTTAGGAGATATTTTGTGATTTTGTTTGAATTAAGATGCAGGTCTCATCTTGGTTTTCCGAAAGTATCTTTTCTTTTTCAATTGATTTACTGAAGATTGTCAGTGGCATGGACTGTGTTATCGCACATCATTTAGGGTGCCAATTTATTCTGTCTCAGGTGTTTTTTAGTCGATGATTCTGTTAACTAATCCTAAGAACTGTCTCCAAGAACAAATCACATTTGTCATATTCATTTTACCCTGTGTTTATCCTGGGGCCCCTCTTATTTTTGATCTATATCAATGATTTACCTGACAATTTGAATTCAAAATGTTTCATCTACGCAGATGATACCTCAATTTACCAGTCATTCACAGCTGAAACAGCAACTGAAATGAACAATGCCCTACAGGAGGATCTCAACCATATTTTTCAATGGTCTGAAGTATGGAAATTAAATTTTAAAGCTTCTAAAAGCAAAGATTTGACCTTTTGCAATCCAAAGAAACGTGAAATTTTGACCATAGATCTTTCTCTCGGAAACGACATTATACCAAGAGTAAACAGCCATAAGCACTTAGGCTTAATCCTAGACAGAAATCTCACTTTTGACCTTCACATAACTGAACTTGGTGCAAGAATAGACAAACTTTTAAATCCACTGAAAGCGCTCTGTCAGAAAATAAATGGAAAACATCTCGAAACAATCTTTAAATCTTTTATCCTGCCACTTTTTGACTATGGTGATATTTTATATGGGTGTGCAAACACAACAAAATTACAGTTATTAGATCGACTTTACTATAAAGCCGCTTGCATTTGTTCAGGTACTCTACATGGGACTTCGACAATTAAAGTGTTGAATAATTTAAATTGGCCAACATTAACAAAGAGGCGTCAATATCACAGAAGCATTTTCATGTATAGGGCACATAATAATATGCAGCCCTCTTATGTTCTTAACATATTTGAGCCTCTCAAAAGAAACCATGCTTATGGTCTAAGAAATCAACTGAGCTACACAATTCCTAATAAATCCTCATTTTCTAATAGATCTTGCATATCAAAAACACTGACTGAATGGAATAAGCTTTCACCTGAAATAAGAAATTTACCTACCCTTAGTATATTCAAATCCAGACTTAAAATAGATCTTTTCAATGACGATGTTACAAATTCATCAGATCTCTCCGTTTCAAGAAAACAAGAAATAATTTTCAATAGAGTGCGCTGTGATCTCATTTTTAAGGCTCACCTTTACGCTCACAATTTCACTAATATAAACTCCCCCATTTGCCAGTGTGGAATGGATGGTGAAACAACCAATCACGTAATTTTTCACTGTAATTTAAGATCAACATTTTGGACAGAATTTGAAAATGAATTAAAAAATATGAACATAGAATATTCTACTAAATATAGATCACAACGAGACAAACTCTCCCTTATCCTCAATGGCGATAAAAGGCTACCTAAAGCTGTAAACTTAAATATCCTCAAATGTAGTGCCATCTTTTTTGAAAGATGTAAAAATGTCTAGGTCACCCCCACCACTGTAACCCTCCACAAATACAACCCCTATTTTAATAATTGATTGAATACTGTTAATTGATTTTCATCATATAACGTGGCTGATAATGCTGATGCCCAGCCACAAGCACATGTGCACTTGTTTACTGTATTCTTTGTATAAATATATAAATAAATAAAAAAAAAAAAAAAAAAAAAAAAAAAGTATTGACTGTTTCTCGGATTATTTCTCTCAAAGTCCATGTTTTTAAGTACAAAATAGAGTGGAATGAGTAGAATTAGTAAGGAATGAAGTAAATGGACATGTAGTCAGCACTTTAAATTGTGCAGAAATCCAAGAAAATCAGACATTTCATTCAAATTTTAGCGAAAAATTGAGCAAATTAACCACAGCTATTGTGATATTTTCGAAATGGTTGTGAATTTAACATTGGGACTTATTTTCAATCAGGGACAACCATTTAGATAATGTTTAATACTGTCACCCATACTCAAAATGTTAAGCTTATTTCACATCAGTATCTATATTATTAATGAAAAAATCTGATAAGCTGCTTTTCTATATAATTTACAGTGTTAACTACATGTTCATTTTGTTTATTTTTTGCCAGTTCTTCTCTTTTCATTCTTATTTGCATTTTAAAAGATGACCTTTACGCCATTTATCTATTGGTTTATCTCAGATTGATCTGATTTATTGGGGAAAGTCTACTGATCATCCGTTAAGTCTCATTGTGGTTACATGGTCAGCCTTTCCACACCAAGTCGACTGGAAAACAAATTGATCAGCTGAGGAATGAACAGAACATGCATGACGTTAAAAACATGATAAAGAATGCATCAAAATATGATACATACTTTATATGATAACGAGGCAATAATAATTGAGGAAATAAAGATGAAATATTTTTGTTGAATATAAATACCTTTAATCGTAAAGAGAAATCAATGATGTCACAATCATGAATAATCAAAGGAATAAAGTATCATGCTTTCTAACAGACTGTGAAAATCATTTAATGAAATCATAGAAGTATGCAACATAAGGATTGCCAAATAATTACACAATACATATATTAGTGTCGGAACTATCAAAGAAAAGACTATTGAAATGTACTCAATGTGAGGATGGTCAAAGAAGTATATAACATGTTGGATTATCACAGAAGTATTATAATGCTGAGATTGTCATAGAAATGCACAATACTAGAATTATCAACAGTATAGGGATTATCAGAGTGTATTGTATTGGGATTATTGAAGTATATAGTATTGGGATTTTTGAAGTATTGGGATTATTGAAGTATAGAGTACTCGGATTATTGAAGTACATGTACAGTATATAGTATTTGGATTTTCACAGATGTACATTGTATCATTAATGACAAATACTCCATTTTGAGATTATGACTAAAGTATTCGTATAATAACATATCAACAAAGAAGAGAAAACTTTAAAGTAGAACATATCAACTTAGAACATTCAAGGAGAGTTAAGTTTGAATGATTTAGCCAACAATAAATATGATTCTCAATGGAAGTTATGTTAGTCGTGAAACTTATAACCCATACAGTGGATGTATAGGACTTGATAGCTACTATGCATTCCCATCCTGTTTATTATTCAACAGAAAATCTAAAAAGGTACATACTATTTTTATATACAGTAGTACAAAAAGATACAATTTGTTTGTCGAATTTTGATTTTACGTCACAGCCCCTCAAAAACTAATTCAAATCAATGTGACCTACTTCTCATATACTATTCATTCTCCTACAGTGTATATACATGTACTATGTACGAGTACATGCACCTACCAAATTCAATTGAGTATATTCAATCTCTATTTTTGAGAGAATGATTTATGTCTTCAATACCTTTGAGAGGAACCTGATAATAAAAGATTGAACAATTTTCTGAGATTTCTAGCTCCAATAAGCTATTGTTGACTAAATACCACTGAGTAAGAAAATAGATGATAAAAATTGAGATTTAATGCATGAATGAACTTATCTTAACCTATAAGGATAGTGATTTTATCGCAAAAGTAAAACTACTTTTTTACGTGTGCTCAGTAATTCCATGATACACATTAGAAGTGTTTGTGTTCAAAGGATAATTGCAATGCTATTTATCATTGAAGCTTTCACATAGGCTTTGTAAAAGGCTGATTATTCCCAGTCATATATCTTGATAGGCACTGTGCTTCAGCAATCCCAATGATAATTTTATATTCACAAAGAGTGGTTATATTTTTTAAATGTTTCAGCTCTAATTATTAAGATAATATTTTCACTTGATTCAATCATGAAGAAAGATTGTTTGAAAAGCAAAAATGGTATTTTTGATTTATACGATTTTACAACACATTGGTTTTGTCCGTATCTAGGGTTACATAAACGGAAACAATATTCTGTAAGGGGTCACAATGATATCATCAATCTAATTATTAAAGGGCTTATGATTACATGAAGTTTTGTGTATTTTGTAAATTTACATTAATTATATCTGAGAGATTTCACTCTATGAAACTGATAAGTCCTAATGACTATTTTAGTTCCAGAAAATTCTCATCTAATTGGTTTGAAATAATATAGTATAATAATAGCCATCAGTGAACCAATCAAAATGTAATATGCTGATGTTTTTACAGATATAAACTATTTAAAAATCCCAATTCTGAATTCTATCATCTTCGCATATACTGGGAATTACCAATTTGATCTAAGTGAACAAAGATGGAATTATATAACAAAATGTATTATTTTTGTTCCAGGAGCAGCAAACTCCATTGCATATTGCATCTAGGTTGGGCAACACTGATATCTGCAGCCTTCTCCTACAACATGGAGCATCTCCAAATGCCACCACCAAGGATCTGTACACACCTCTCCATATCGCTGCCAAGGAAGGCCAAGAAGAGGTGGCTGCAGTCCTACTTGAACATGGGGCAGACCAGAACTTAACGACAAAGGTACATATCACATTCTGATTTACTTAAGTTCCTCATGAAGTTATTGATTTCAACAAATATTGCAGTAAGTTTTAGAAAGAACGATTGATTTGCAGATCCTTAAATAAATCCCAGACACTCTTTAGCTATCAATTTATATCTTTTGGTAAGATATTTAAATGGGATGTGGTTTTCACTATAAGTCCCTTTGAACCATGATTAATCTTCACAAGAACACAATTCTCAGTTTCATGCTGTTTTTTTTAAATGTCATCGAGCGTGTATTAAATCATTTGCCTTTTCCTTTTACAGAAAGGATTCACCCCACTGCATATTGCTGCCAAATATGGTAAGATCAAGGTGGCCCGTCTTTTGCTACAAAAGGATGCCGACCCCAATGTTCAGGGAAAGAATGGCCTGACCCCCCTACACGTTGCCACGCATTACAACCATGTGAATGTTGCTCTGCTACTATTGGACAATAAAGCCACACCCCACTGTGCTGCCAAGGTAGGTCCAACTTTGTATTTATTATTACATTGGTATTTGCTTAATATCCTTCAAACCAAGGAACGGCATAGGGTACATAGTATAATGTTTTAAGGTATTAAAACATTTGATTCTTTGATCGGGAGAATTCACTTTTGTGCCTTAAAATTTCTTCTATATTAGCTGTTACCTAATTAAATTATTGTATTGCTAAATAATATTTCACAGCGGGTTAAGACACGAAAACTTGCAGATGTTAGACAATAATTAGTATTGATGAATGATAACGTATCCTGTATGGATGGATTCGAATTAAAGATGGCAGCACCATATAAACTGTCCAGTCTTAATAATGGATAGATGGCAGCACATACATTTTAAGAATGAATCCTGGAAAACTCAAAATGATAGAGTTGAATAAATGATTGCAACGCAAAATGCAAACAAATGGCTGCACGAAACAAATAAATGGCAGAGAATCACAAATAAATGGCATTACATTCCTAATAGATGGTAGCATAATGTGGCAATAAATGGCAGCCAAATGCTATTAAATCAACAGGGTGTAATGGAAAGCTATACTTCTACAAGGACAAGATAACTGTAGTTTACTGGAACTAGAAAAGATATGTCAGATTAACTTTGCAATATTTCAGAAACCGAACTGTGCATATCAGAGTTCCCTAAGGAAAGATCACAAGTCCTTGTGTTTCTAGTCTAGTATAGTAGAGATGAATGGTTTTATCTCCAAAATAGAACATTAGACGGATTTGAATGTGGAGGATACAATCCGTAATTGACTTAATTTCTTGTTATTTTGCATTAAGTTCTCTCTTATAATCATTTTATTACCCATTTGGATTATTCATGTTGCCCCTCATGTTTTCTTATGACAGTAAAATGTCATAGTAAGACCAAGGAAAAAACAACTGAGTTTCTGAGTAGTTTCAACAATCAATCATTTCACATTTTTCGTCTTTTTATTATTAATGTTAACCCCAATTTGTATTTGATTATGTTCAAATGCAGAAAATGAAATATTTTGGTGGTTTTATCAAAATAAAGGTATGGAAGAATCATTACAACGAGGCAGTTTTTGAGTTATGAATTTTTGAGAAGTATACCATAGTGAATTTTGACAGTGAATGTTTTTGAGAACCATGCTCTAGATATATTAGTACATGTACACTCTATACCATGAAATAACATTTTAGAATCTATTTATCACTGGCTTTATCTATGAACATTTCCCATGAATGTGCCTATATTTCATCAAGACTTAGTCAGACGATATTTTGGGAAATTACCCAAGTTACAAGTTTATCGATTTTCGAAGTTGCTAGTTCAAATTGTCATTAAAGCTTAAGTGGAAATAGGAAAAACATGAATTCATTGATAATTTTATAAGTGTTCCATTCTATTTCTTTTTTAAAATGGGAGAAAAGTAAACAATTTTCTGGTATATCTAAATAAGTTTGAGTATGAACTACTTGTACTTTACTGTTCATATTTTATTTCTTGCCAATTCTTCTCTTTTCCACTGAGTGTTTTTCTCAGGTTATCGTTACTTGCAAGTTTACCTAGTTGATGGCCTGCTGTGTATGTTAGAATTCAAAGTCAAGGAGGAGGTACTGAGTGATTCAATTTGTTCAAAATAAGTTATTGCTCTTCAGTACTATCTCTAGTTTGTGTAACTTTGTTGATGAAACTCGGCTAATTTATTTCAATATTGCATAATTATTGATTGTACCTCACTTCACTCAAAATGCCACACTCAGTTGTTTATGTGTTTATGCCCTTCTAAAGGTGAAAATGATAACGTGATATTTTCTTACTCTCTGTAACTAGTAATGTTTGGTTACCATGGCAACAGATACCAGTCCGTGTAAATGATGTCAGAAGTCAGAATGACACCCTGACTGTCTGCTAGTTATGTTTCTAATCCGGTTTTACACCCTTACTTCCAAAAATAAAATCTGGTACAAACAAACTTTATTTTCAATTGATTGACTTCAAAATGAGCTGTTTTCCGATGACCTTTTTGGTTTAGTGAGGCAATTTTCCATTTTCCCATCATTTGAAATATCAGCCTGTGAGTAATTTAGCTTTGCTGATGGTGGAAGACCTGAGGAGAAATGTTACCTAATTAAATCTTTGGCTCATATTTTCCAAAGTATCATTTTCAAAAACAGCAGATATTTCCCAAGGCAGTGAGGTAGAAAATACTAGAAACATATGCTGTAAATTCTATCTCATGATGTGGCCATGCTTTGAATATCACTGGGTATGCTTATGTATTCTACTCCATTCTTGCCATGTTTAAATCAATGACACACAGTACCTGGCTTCTCAGTATTCCTATGATTTAACCTGCTGATTTCTCTCCCTCAGACTTGATTCCCGGTTAATTTTACTATTTTCCCCTCTATTTTTCATTTTGAAGCCAAGAGATTTCTCCCTGGATAAGTGGCCTTCAATCCAGTACCAACTAAAGGTCAGCTTCAAAGTGCAGTTATACATACAAAAATAACTAGATGTTCACAAGACTTATGGTACAGAAGGAAATTTTATGAATGCCCTGAAAAAACTTGTCAGTAGAAGTCTTACTATGACCTTTCAAGAGAACGCTGTGGTCCTACATATCCTTTTATTTTACTTCATGTATGTGCTTTTATGTCCAAGAATTTTTACATACATTGCACTTAATAACAAACTTTAAGTTTTGAATCAAGCCCCAGCCAGTGCTCCCTTGGCATTTTCTCTGTAGGTAAGGGAAATAGATGAAAATGGGGAGGGCAGAGGCTTGATACTAGACTAATGGAATGTCAAAACAGATTTCATTTATTACATATTTTAGCAAGTTTATCTACCATAATAATAGGTCTGTTTAATTTACAGTATATCACTGAAATATTATTTTGTTATAGTCGGAAAAGTGCCAAGACCTTTTATATTATTAGCTCCTCTAGTTGACTATAATAGCCACAGACGTGTTAGAGTTGTCCTCATTTTTCATATGAAGTTTCAGGGCATGCTAACCCATGCTACACCATTAGTACTTTTCGTTTGGAATACAAATGTTTCATTGATATATTTCATATCAATGCTTTGTTTTTTATTGATTATGAAATCTAACAATCATGTTAATTCTGCATCTTCCTGTACATGCAGATTCACTGGTACATTCACTGGTACATGTACTTAAATATATATTCAAATCCCTATTCATTCAAGAAAATAAGTTATCATTTTAATACAGAAATCAATTGAAAATTGGTGACAAGTATTTCCAACCATCCATTATCTATAACTTTCCCTATGTACTTAAAATACAAACTATTTGTAGCATCTTTCCTGTTCTCACTTTATTTATGGATGCCTGGCAGTTGAGGTCAGTCATAACTCCCATTTCATGGATTTAGCATCTGCTTACTTATTCCTGCTTTTCTTATACAAGTTGTGTAAGATGTCAAAAGTGAATGTCTTGGAGGAGATGTTTACTGTTAAGTACAGATTCGGAGAAGCAAATACTCAAAAAGCAGTCGAACATCAAGGTTTCTTGTCCTCCCTCCCCTCATTACTAATTCAGTATCTGTGTAGCTATATAAGTTAGAGGGGATTGGGTTGTACCTCTAGTTGCCCTCTCAGTTGCCTCTGCCTTTTTGAAGTTTCTGCCAAATCTACCATTGGAAAGGAGAGGTATAGATTAGATGGTTAGCAAAGAGAAGTTTCCTCTTTGGTAGAACATTGACTGACCTCAACTTACAAGACCATAGATCAGAGGGCACTTACCAATTATCCCGCATATCTGGAAAGGAACATACATGTATTTCCAAAACATTTTTTTATCAAAATAGTTCAAGGTGTCAGAATAGTGCAGATAGTTGATTTATGCCTGCATAAATATGTTATCAATATTACTTAGCACCTCCGTATCATATCTAATTGGTTTTAGGCTGGCTAGAGATATCTGGGGACTGGGTTTCTTTCACATTTGAGAAGATATACTGGTTCCTATACTGTATTCTCATTTGGTTTTAAGGTTTATCAGTGGGGTCAAATGCTTCTATATGTGGATAGAAATATTTTTTCAAATGGAGTGTGAATTAGAAATGGAAAAGGCTCCTTTTTTTAAAATACAGTCCTTATATCTTCAATATCTTCCAAATAAAGACTGGACAATTTGGAAACTGAAAATAATGGTTGCTGAGGTAGCATACATGAATCTGGTCATGACTTTTCTCTCCATTTCTATGTTAAACAGGAATGAAGATTATAATTTTCTAACATTTTCATAACTATATATATTCTAATTCCTGGAACACTTTACTTATTTCCATTCTGTTTGCATGTAAGAACATATCTATCTTTACATTTTTCTCAGGCGTAAGCTTACCTTTGCGGTAAATGAACAGGTATAGATTCACTGCTTATCTCATGGCTGAACATTACATGGAATTTGTCTATCTTGCTATGATGAAATTCAACAATATCAACCCAGTTACCATGGTACCATAGCCTCGCTGATTCAACTTGACTTGGCAGCCAATCAAAATAGTTCAAAGTTAAATAGTTCTGTTGGCGTGATTCTGAGATTCCGTATTTCCAAAATGTTAACTGAAAAGAGTACATTTGTATATTTACTGACATAATCTATGATTATCTTAAGTAACCGAACTCTGCATCTCAACCTAAGCAATACTGCATTGGATTAGAGTCTACGGGATCATTAATGAGACATTAAATACTGTAATATCAGATTATTTATAGCATCATACTCTGAAAAATCAACATATTTCCATGCATTGAATCTTACGATAAGTTTGCATACACCCCCAATCCGCACTCTGAAATCACGGTACCGTACGGTACCGTATACGGTACTGTACGGTACCGTTTGCACGGTACCGTACGGTACATTAAGAGTATGGTACCGTACGGTACCGTAGGAGTATGGTACCGTACGGTACCGTTGGATTACCGTACCGTACGGTACCGTACGATGCCGTACGGTACCGTTTCAGCTGTAATACTATTCAGCACCATGTAAGCTAGATATTTTCATTTAATATTTTCAATATTTAATAAGCATTAAATTACTATAGTATTTCAATAATATTTTACTCTATTCTGAATGAATCAACTCATTGATTAAGCTTGTGAAGTAGCTAGATTTGAGAAAAACAAACATTTCATTAAGAATTTCCATACTTTATTGCTTTTATAAAATTAAAATTGTACAAAATATCTACATATTTATAATAACTAAATATGTCTATTTATATTTACATTAAAATCTACAATGTTTAATATGGAGACGCTAAAGCGTATAGTACATAGTCCAACTACTCGGGCCATATCAAAACCAATACAAACATACAGAAGGCAGGGAGAGGAAACAGGGTAGAACTTGTGAAGTAAAAAATGGATGTGGCGGAGGTTTAAAATTAAAATAATGAAATAAATGATCTTGCGAAAATGTACTGGTTTTGATATGCTCCAAGTAGTGGGAGATCTAGGCCTAGAGTGTCCTTGTTATGGTAGTGCAGGTGTAGCAGCAGGAGCAGCAGCAGCTGTCTCTTGAGTCCTAAACGAGTGACCAGATGCTCTGAGTTCAGTGCTGTATATCTGGAAATAGAACATAGATTAATTCATTTTATTTCATTGTCTTAATTTTTAAAAAATCTCCAAATTAAATAGTGGCCAATATCCCCGGGAATTTGACATATTTTTCGTTCTGTGCATTTCTGGTTATAAGAAATTGGCTGATGGTGTTAGCATAAAATAAAATGTTTTTATTCTTCTTTTAAATTGTTCATCAACAACAATGAATGTTACTAATCTAGTATTAAACTGGGTTAGGCCGGAGTGTATACTGTATCCGGGACATTAAACAGGATTGATTTGCCGGAAGACTCTATTGGATTTCCGGTACATGCTTTTTTAGAGCACATTTTCAATTTTATTTTAAAAGATTTCTGTGTTTATATATCATATCAATATCTATTTCAAGTCACATATATTTTATACAGTAAACATTAGTGCAAGCGCTATTGACCGACATTATAAATTATAATTTTGCATCTACCCTGTCTCAAAGTCGAAATTATTTTATCATCTCTAGAAGTGATTTTCCTGGAGGTAATGCATTCGCCTAACATATGCACCTGTTTAAATCCCAAGGAAATGGCCAAAATCAAACATAATATGACTGTCCAAAATCTATTGCGCTAACTTCCCTCCTCCTTTATCTTTTGAACATTTTATTCAATGTACTGACTGGTTCCAAAAATAAAGCCATATTTTTGAGAACTTACTTTGTTTCTTGGACCTCCAATGGATGGGTATAAGGATCAGTCGTAAATGTTTCTTTGGCAAGCAATCTGCTAATTGACTCCTGCAAAAACGAAAAATTAATGAGTTTTATATTTTATTATTGAAAAATCATAAATGTATTTCATCTTGTAATACTGATAGCTTTTCTCGAGCTTGCACCAAACCTATATCAGTATACTAAATGAAATCAACGATTTTGCAAATTCACTTGAAAAAACAAGGATTTCGAATTTCCCTTCTTTTAGATGACATTGAAATCAAAACAATTCAATATTTAGTAGGCCTATACAATTACTACATTTATATGGTTTTAATTTTGAAATTAAAATATAGTCAATTTCTGTAAAATGCTCAATGGCACACTAATGTTAAACATCCTAGAATAATGGTGATATGCCAATACGGCACGATAATATGAAATGAAATAAATAAACATGGTGATATGACATTGGAGCATGGTGATAAAATAAAATGAACATGGTGATATAACATTGGACCATGGTGATATCAAATGAACATGGTGATATGACATGGGGGCACTATTCCAACAATACACTGAATAAGCAAAATATATTATTATTAGATTTCATAAAACTGTTATAACGTTTACTCTACGCACCTAGCCTAAATAGCTTTAAGCATGTTGCATTCCCGGTTGCATTCCACATTACTAATACATGGCCATCCATTGATTATGTATTGTATTCTTCACTGCCTTTACTCCTCATGATATGCCAATATCTGACCAATGCCAACATCAAGTCTATAAAAGAAAAGGTAGCCTAGAAATGCATTGCCGATAGAAAGTGATCTTTATAAATCTAGGCCTAAAGAATAAAAAATTAAATTTAAAACTGAAATCACTCAGAAATTACATTTTGGCCCATGTCTGGCTTCATTCAGAAGATATTATGCAATGTAGATTATTAATATATTTTTAAAAACTCCAAGGAACTAAGCTTAGCCTATGCTCTGGACTTTTCAGTGACTTTGCAAAAAAATGTTCAATTCCTGAATTCATTTTTATCTCTAAATTTCACCCTAGCCTGTCCACAGAGCCTATCTGGTATTTGAAAGTTTTCTATATAATAGGTGCACCTAACGTATGCTCATTTATTCATAACAAACCAATCAAATATATACTTACATGTGGAAATTGCAGATAGATGGCAGAGACTGGCACAGAAATCAAAATTTAAATATATGGCTTCTCAAACTTCCTGTATGAGTCATAGAATGTGTGACGTCATAGGTCAAAAGTTCAAGGGGATTTCCCAGGGATTTCCCTAAGATGTCAAACTCAATGAAGAAATCACAATGTAACAATAATGAATGTTCTTTAAAAATATATTTAATTTATAAAGCTGAATTAAAGCAATGGACTTAATGGACTATAATATGTCATTATAATGACCTTGGAGAGCAAAAACAACAGGTATTTATTCATAATTAACCTGATATATAAGGGTTATGTACTGGGAGGTTTTAGATATGGGGTTCATCCAGAGGGAGATATGCATATCTCACGAGGGATGAACCCTATATCCAAACTGACCGTACATAACTGCTTTATCCTATACCAAGTTGAGTTTTCAGGGGCATATGGCCATTTCAATAGTACAAGGTGTAAAAATAAATAATCATTCATATGCAAAGTCATTTTATTGCATTACCGGAAGCGGGAAGATATGCATCGGAAGCGGGAAGATATGCACCGAAGCGGGAGATATGGAGGTTCTGGATATGGAAACCTCAAAATCAGGATACGGGATATATCTTACCAACTTATCTCTCTAAAACTCTACTTGGCATAGGATAATTCTATATATTCGTAATAACCTTCAAAAAAGTAGGACTGACTGATCATTATCCCAAATTCGAAACAATAGATCCCCGAAAAGTTCATACAAAATTTTAATCATGAAATTATAAGACTAGAACGGCACCGTACGGTACCGTATCTCCAATTGGTACCGTACGGTACCATATTAAAAAACGGTACCATACGGTACCATCTGAGCAAAACGGTACCATACGGTACCGTATTCTCACGGTACCGTACGGTACCATCTACACGGTACCGTACGGCACCGTGTTCACGGTACCGTTTGAGCTTACGGTACCGTACGGTACCATATTCCACGGTACCGTACGGTACCATAGCCAAAACGGTACCGTACGGTACCGTTGGAGATTGGCTGTGTATTCCATACAAAATTGAGAAAAAATTTACAAACAGTGAAGGATAACAAAATTTCCTATTTTGAAATCACAAAAATGCTAAAAAGATAAACAACATCTCGTAATTCACATTAAAAGACTGAAATAACCTATATCAAGATGAACCTTATTTCTAGATAAGTCTCTAAATGAACATTGTTTCTTAGCTGGAGCTTGTTAAGGTGATACAGATACAAGGCGTTCTGGACACAGGTAGCTCACTGTAAAATCTGATCTGTGTTCCTGGTTGGCTGACGTAATAGCCAATAACCCTTGCAGACAATATTTTAGCAAATGTTGAATTTTCATCATTTTCTCCTTAAAAATTTGAAGAAATGAATTGTTTTCTTGCAAATGTGAATATATTGAGTTATTATTTTTTATATATATGAATTTTTTAGTTGATTTCCTTAATTATGGAGAAGGAAAATAATTCTGGTCATATAACTTTATGTAAGGTGAGGTGATGCTATATAAAGCTGTCAAATCCCAACCTTCAGCCATTTCGTATCAGATCTAGCTAAGTTCAGTGTAGGCTCACATCAGTGGCTTGGGATTATTGGAATTTAGGAAGTTACATTAAATCTTGCAAGTTTCGTCAAATACTGCAAGTAACACTGAATATTACTTGTAACTTTGAGGAGAATCTGAAGCTGTAAATTCATTTACCGTGTATAAATGGGCCTGTTGGCTGTTTGTTCACATCAATTTACCAAGAGTATATGATATACAGAGGTTCACCCCAACCCTAAAAGATCAGCCAAACTTACAAGCATAAGTAATTGCATTCGCAGTCTTCATAGGAGAGAATCTTGGTTCATCCTAGGATAAATTCTAATAGCTCAAGACACCCTAAAATTCAATATCAAACCCCTTGGGTTCTCTAAACGAGACTCGGGGCTTTACCTCAGGGGCTTGAAGTAATAAGATCTGGATACAAGCCTACACTATGACACTTAGCAAAAGATCACGGGAAGCTTCCCCCGTTGAGGCAGAAACTGCAGACTCAGGGTTTAATACAGTGCCTCGTGCTAAAAAGCCGCGGGACCAGGATGCTGTACGTGATGCCCCTGTTCGTTCAGGGAGTTTACCACGAGGTGGAGCTGGACCATCCAAAAGTGGACCATCCTCGGGAACGACTACACCCAAGACAAAAGGACCATCTCGGTGGAAAAGTTGGAGTTTTTTCCCTGGACATTCTCGCGCAACCTCGTCGAGTAATATAGAGGGTGCAGAGACTGAACCAAAAAATAAAACATTGCATAAATTGCGACAACGGAGTGTATTTGCAGGAATTAAGTATGTGGGTCATCATTTGTTCTCACATCTGGTTCCTTTTGTTTTACAGAATGGCTACACCCCACTTCATATTGCCGCAAAGAAGAACCAGATGGACATTGCTACCACCCTCTTGGAATATGGTGCCAAGCCAGATGCCGAATCCAAGGTTTGTGCCATGCCATTTTATATAACATTTACAGTAGTCTTGGATCAAGCCCTTGTCTTGTCCCATTCCTACTTTTTGATTTACTTATTAAGTATAGATATTGGTACTGGGGGAGGGGTAGAGGTCCAAGACTTAATGTACATGCATGTGTAATTTAATGTAATGTATTTTCAAGTTTAACATCTGCACATGCTCCAGGTTCACCATAAACAAACCTGAAATGACTGAAATACTTAAGTATTATAATTTGTCTATATTTGTAACTAAGATACTAATAGGGGAAATAAATTCAAGTGTTTTGGTACAAAATGAAAACATTGTATGTGCACATCAAAAAATAACAGATTTCAATTTCAAAGACAAAAACCAACTCATAGATGTGTACTGTAATGCTCATATTTTCATTTAATTGTAAAATACGTTTTTCTTGCAGAGTGGATTCACGCCACTACATCTTGCGTCCCAGGAAGGACACACAGACATGGTTTCCCTCCTTCTGGAACATAAAGCATCTGTCAACTGCTCTGCTAAGGTATATATATTATACTGTTCTTATTCAAAATGGTGCTTTCAGATATTTGGATGTTACCAATTAGAAACAAGGAAGGACTACTTGGTTGTCAAGTTAATGAAGTCAACTGTTAAATTATGCACCTCAACTGTAAACCTCAATTCTCCAGTTTTCATTCAAGAAATATATTTGTCAACATGCAACTTAGATCAAAGTATTATTTAACATCGTGATTATTTGACTTGGTGGTTAGACTGTTTTGTAAAGGTTTATAGGGTTTTGCCTTCTATACTTTGGATTGGAAGATTCTCCAGACACTTTTCAATTAATACTTGTTATGTCAGATTAACATAATTTACTGAATTACTTTGCTTTGATGTTATCCGTGTGTGAATTATTACATGCTTACTATAAGTGTAAAGATTTAGGGAATGTCCAGCAATTTAAGTGAAAAGAAGGGAATGCCCAGGAATTTAAGTGAAAAGAAGGGAATGCCCAGCAATTTAAGTGAAAAGAAGGGAATGCCCAGCAATTTAAGTGAAAAGAAGAGAATGCCCAGCAATCTAAGTGAAAAGAAGGGAATGCTTTTAAGTGAAAAGAAGGGAATGCCCAGCAATTTAAGTGAAAAGATGTAAATGCCCAGCAATTTAAGTGAAAAGAAAGGAATGCCCAGCAAATTAAGTCAAAAGAAGGGAGTACCCAGCAATTTAATTCCACACAAAACTGCTGTAAAGTATTTCAGTTTAGAGAGTGCATCTTAACAAGCACAGTATTTATAATACCTCGTGGAAAAGTGGATGGTTTTCTTTAGAATGATCTGGAAGAGAAAGATTTCTAATCTTGTCTTGATAACAATTTGGGATTAACAATTTAGCATGTTGATAATGAATTAAGAGTTATCTACATGAAGCAATTGCTGGTATAATTATGGCATGTACTGCTCTTATGTACCTGACATTGAATGTATGCCTCAAATGAGAGGCTTTGTGATATTTTTAACAAAACATTTTATTTGTTGTTTATTTTTATTTGTTGATCAAGTTCTAAATACAGACTCATGTGGGGTGCTTGTTATGAGGCAAATCACATTTCAGCATTATTTCTCTTATCCTATCAGAGTCATTCAGGGACCAGTGAATTTAGAATCCCTGGATGGTAGACCCTGCCACCAAAGTTGTGATAAACTATCTGTATATGCATATTCGGTGTCACACCCAGTCTAAGGTAATCCAACAAATATAAGTATACCATCCATGAAAAAGCAATTCACAAAATAGTCAAACATCCCAAAAAATCCTGTTTTAAAAACTAAAGCAATTCAAAAAAGTCTAAAATTATCTGATAACATGTACGTACATGTAATTGGTTGCCTAAAGAAGATTCTCTTGCCATGTAAAATAGCTGCTAAATTTGAATCTTGTGAAATATTTCAGTGTAAAATAGAGAAGCGGCCACAGAATCTAGACTTGTTGTTGCACCATATTAATACAAATGTCAGTAGATCAAACATTTTATTTAGAATTTAGAGAGAAATGTATTTAAAAAGGCACAAATAATGTGGTATATTTTGCATTGGTTGTCTGGTATAAAGTTTCATGTTTCTTACTTTAGCCTCAGAGATAACAGTATAAACATGCAAGCTTCTTCAAAGGTATAGCTCCACCCAAATAAACCCGAACTTTTCAACCTAATTCTGTTGCTTTACATTTGACCAACATGCCATGGAAGGAAAGAGGGAACAAGCATTATTTAATCATTTAACTGCTTTAGAAAAGCAAATGTGCAAATTATTTTCAATCGATGTATGAATCAGATTTCACTGCCATAAAAACATCATTGTTAACTTTTGGAAAACAACTAAGATACTCGTTTTATATGTATTTACAGCCTCTAGTTAAGATTTTGTGTAGCATTGAAAAATGGGTTGCCCCATCCAAAATAATCTATCAGCCCCTACAAACTGTACCAGTTTTTCCCTCAATAAGTCATTTGCTATACATACTGTTAGATTGTTTCATAGTCATACTCATTTATCACATGAATTTCTAGTTCTTTCAATTCATTTCTTTTATTATTACATCAAGAAAAGACTACTTCCTGATATTTTGTATGTGTTTTAGACGAACTGTATCTGTTTTAGTGCAGTGTTGAATAACACCTATGTACACCTGGCTGCAACTTATAACATGGTCATGCTCATAAATGAAATGTCCATCTGCCAAAACTTATTTTACTTTAGTTCTCTCTAAAATTTGAATAAACTGTTACAATTTTTGGCATTTCTGTATTATTTAGAGCACTTGCTTCATGCCTGTTTAGTTTAGCTCTTTCTTATTCCAGTATTTCAACTTGATTTTTCATGTTCATTTAATCACCATGAAATCTCCAAAATATGAAATATATGCTGTAGTTTGTGCATAAACAGTTACATGGGTCTTGTTTTGACAGTCTAAATACTTTACCAGATTTTGTTCCTTGGTACTTGTATAAATTCCTCAAGTAAGAACAAATAAATATCAGTGTTTTGAAAGTGAAATATTCCTCATAAAAACAAATCACAATTCTTGTTCAGCATTCAATAAATGGTGCCTATATTCTCATATTAGTCTTTATGAACCTTACTTTTTCAAAAATGATCGTCCCCGCTGGATATGAAGGGAATAATATGATTGGGGTCAGAGAGAGAAAGCTGCTCAAAAATCAGTCCCCACCTCTTACCTACAATGTGATATATCTGTATCCAAGAGAATCTGACTGTATTCATTTCATCTCTTTACATTCCAAGCTGTTTTCAATTTCTAAGACAAATACATACACATGTACTTCACGGGTGGTAAAGTTTTGGATCTTTAGGTGGAAATGAGGGCGGAATACAACATAGAACATAGAACACAACATAGAATGGACACAACATAGTACCCCACACAAGTTTTTGATAATAACTTTGACCCGTGATTTGAACACTCTATCCTTGACTATTTGTTATTAAATTTAGCATACATAAACTAGAGGAAATTTCCAACATTGGAAATTTTTTGTTTTTATTTTACTTCAATAACAATAAAATTACAAGTAATCAAATCAAGGTTGTCATTAATGGGTTTTCACCAAATTGACGTCATAAAATCATTCTATGAATTGTTCATTTTAACAATTTTATTGACTTTTATCTCATTATCTTATCAATATTCATCTTATTGAATTTCATCTCAAAGCAGTCCTGTATTTATGGTACTTATGAATAGTTTATTACAAATCCTACATTTGGAGATTGTATACTTGTCCTAGATCTATACTGTCTGATTGTAATTGTCTGACTATGGTCAAGGTTGTATGACTTACAGTTTCTTTGGCCAGTTGAAAATGTACTTGTTATGGGCCGATCTTTTTCTTTTCGATAATACTGTCTTAGCGACTCTCAGCATCTGTTTGTTAGAGAACTTTGATGATATATGCTGATTAGACATTTGTTTTACATATGGGGAATCCACTAATGAAATATTATCTTTGGTACAATAATACATAGTTTTCAATAACATTTTGCTATTTAATGTTGACAGAATGGCTCTAGAAAGCCCATGGTTGATGCCTAAATCTGACAAGTATAATAATTATTTACAAGCATTTTGTGATTTATCTCCAGAATGGGCTCACTCCAATGCACTTGGCCGCCCAGGAAGACAAAGTCCCAGTGGCAGAGGTCCTTGTGAAATATGGTTCAGAGATTGACCCACGAACAAAGGTATGTAAAGGTCCAATATGACATTACTAAAAGTCCAATATAACAATGTTAAAAGCAGAGGTCCTTGTGAAATATGGTTCAGAGATTGACCCACGAACAAAGGTATGTAAAGGTCCAATATGACATTACTAAAAGTCCAATATAACAATGTTAAAAGCAGAGGTCCTTGTGAAATATGGTTCAGAGATTGACCCACGGACAAAGGTATGTAAAGGTCCAACATTACTAAAAGTCCAATATAACAATATTAAAAGTCCATTGTAACAATACTAAAAGTCCATTATAACAATACTAATGGAGGTCCAATATTTCATGGCAATCAACAAATTTTTTAATGCAGATTTTTTTTAATCTTTTTTTGATTTTGGCCTTACCTGATTTGACCAAAGAAATAAGGTGATGTCAGAACTAGAAGTATTGGTATATTTTCATGTATCAGGCCATAATGAGCAGCCAGCTGCTAAGACATATAGCTCTGGTAGAAAAACGTTGGATATCCATCAGTAGATGCATCCTTAAATTCCATCCCTAGATACTCTTACATGTTTATGATATGCTATCTAATTATACCTGCTTAGAGCTCTAATGTACCAGTTGAAAATTCCAACATGGAGTTTCCTTACAAAAGTTTATTTTAAAAATGTGAATTATATGTGAGTATATGACATCTAGTATGTCGTTTATATACTGTACTTTGAATGTATAGAAATGCAAAAATATTTAGGTTTATTAAGTACATCTTTCCTTTGATATATATTTGAGATAAGCGACATATTATTGATGATTTGTGATATTTTGGGCTGGTAGGCATGGATTCCCTCACCTGGTTCAAGGCTGATTACCAAGGATAAGAATGTCCATCCTCTCATGCCTATTCCATGACGTTCATCTTTAAATTTTGTGAGAAGCTCCTGATTTTATTGCATTTTCATACAATTTGGGGATTTTACTGCGCACCTATTTACTTTGTTCTATTGTAACCCTTCTACAATATTTAAATTGAAAACGTATGATATTGTTGATAGATTCCATCCATTATCAAATAATGTAATGCCAAAACCTGGTTCTTTACTCAATCCTTCATCTGGCCTAATCATTGGGGCTGATGCTCAGTATAAAGTAAAGTAAAATCAAACTAAAATGCATACTCCTGAGACCAGCTTAAGTGTTCATAAAAGGGATTTGATTGCACTCATTGTGATATCCCAGTGAGGTGTTCTTTGATGTTTTCTTTACAGGTCTTGCTCTAAAGAATTAACATAAGATGTATTTCTAGATTGATTTGAGAGCCCTTGACTCATCCCAATCCACTGTGCATCCTTTCTGTTCATTTCTTATACCTAATGAAGTGATGATACGATACTTCACTGAAATTATTCAGAGTATTTTCATGAATCCAGTTGGCATTTTACCCAAAACAGGAAGTAAAACATTTTACATTTCTGTCAACAAGACATTCTGTTGAAATTCAAGCTGAACTTGTCAATCTGGCTTTAGTTTTTTCTCTTCATTTCTCTAAGATTTACCTCATTTTCTCTTGTTATATTTTAAAAGTCAAGATACTGATTTTCTGGTCCTTAATTTAAAGTTTTCAACAACCCTAGCAAATTCTGTTTTATTTTTCAGTACAGTGTCAAAATATGATGTCATATCATGTTTCTATTATGATGTCATATCATGTTTCTAATATGATGTAAACAGAAGAAAAGTTTCTGTTAAATATGGTTAAATATTTGGTATGAAACAGTCCTAAATAGGAAAATTTCATTTTAAGTTTTTAAATACAAAACAAAGTAGAAAGAGTGGCATTTTGAAGCTGAACTGTATGTTTATTTTAATGCACCTTATATCTAATTGAGTAAAACGAGAAAAACAGGCATTCTATAGTTAAAAGACAAAAAAAGAATAGAATCACATTCATGATATCTTGATATTTTATTGATTTACATGTGCCATAAGTTACACTTAACTACTAGAAACAGTTTCTGCTATTGATCTTACTATTGTATGTGGCAAACTTCCGGCTCACTCTACCAGTATTGTGAAGAGTTCTAGTATTTCCAAGTTGCATAAAGATGTCACATTTACTATATACAGTATAACATATCATCACTTTTTGCAATGTGGAAGTAAAGCAGAATTTAATAAGTGATAATTGGAAATGAAGATATCAAAAGTTATAATTAGATAGTAAAGCTTGTAGCTACTTGATCTTATGTTAGTGATTTTCCCTGGAAAAAGTGAAATCATTTAAAATGACCACATTCTCTCATAAACGTAGTGTATTTCAATTTTTAAACTTAAAAAGATAGTTTACAAGAAGCATTTTAGTTAGGTATTATTTTGTTAGTATTAATGATGAAGCCGTTTGTCTATGATTATATGCTAACTTTAAATGAGAAAAATCTCAGTATCAATAAAAAAGACCTATTCTAAAATATCTGTATTTTATGGCCAGGAAAGATTTTTATCCCATCGAACGAAGTTCGGAGGGATATAGGGAACGCCTCCGTCCGTCCGTACGTACGTACGTACGTCCGTCCGTCCGTACGTACGTACGTACGTCCGTCCGTCCGTCTGTCCGTCCGTCCGGGCAATAACTCAAATACCGTTGGCCCGATTTTGTACACATATACCTTATGAGGGTAGAAGTTCTGCTCGAAAGCTGATTTTCAAAATGGCCGCTCATTCCAAAATGGCGGCCATTTTAGTGCCGATTTTACAGTAATTTAGGTGCAATATGTAAAACTGTTATATCAATATGTTTTAAATGTAAAAAAATTATAAAGGACATTAATAATGCTACAAATGTAGATATTAAAGAAGCACATGGCAGCCATCTTGAAAAATGGCGGCCTTTACTTGTCATTTTACGATTTTTGCTATAACTCAAAAAATAGTGGAGCGATTTTGTTCATATTTGGTATGTGAATACTATAAGCATTGTACACTGTCTAAAGACACTTTTGGTAGAAGGCAGCCATTTTGAAAATTTTTTTGAAAAATGGCCGCCATTTTAACGTATTTTACTATAACTCGAAAAGTAGTGGAGCGATTTTGTTCATATTTGGTATGTGAATACTATAAGCATGGCACACTGTCTAAAGACACTTTTGGTAGAAGGCGGCCATTTTGAAAATTTTTTTGAAAAATGGCCTCCATTTTAACGTATTTTACTATAACTCGAAAAGTAGTGGAGCAATTTTGTTCATATTTGATGTGTGAATACTTTAAGCATGGCACATTGTCTAATAAAACTTTGGGGAGTAGTCGGCCATTTTGAAAAATGGCCACCATTTTTATGTGTGTTATTTTACAAGTACGTGTGCGATTTTTCAAAAATTTTAGAGGTGGCTACTGAAAAGCATATTATTTCTTCTGATGACAACTTGGCTAGTGAGCAACCATTTTGAAAATGGTGGCCTTTCTGGTGTGTTGTTTTATGATATTTGCTATTCGTTTGTAAAAATGCCAGCCATTTCTGTTCGATGGGATTCGCTACGCTTTGGCGTTGCCGTTGTTCTGGTTGCTTTTTTCAACTGATCTTTTAGACCTACATGCCAATTCCAATATTATAGTACTGAAGGTATTATATGATAGTGCTACATGTATCTTTTTTCATATTTTGTAATTATTATATCTTTAAATAAAATAAATGTAATTCAATGTTTTGTTGTTTTATTATAGGCTGGCTATACTCCACTGCACACAGCATGTCATTTTGGACAGATCAATATGATTCGTTTCCTATTGGAACATGAAGCTGATGTCAACGCTGTTACCAAGGTAACAGACATTATTCCTTATTTCTTCAATAACAAAGATGGTCACTTTCCTTAAACTTACAATTCTAAGCTAATAACTAGAATATGATATTTTGGCAGTGTGAAAAGACACCGTCCCAATTGTTCTTAAACACAATTCATAAGAATTTATTTTCTAATATTGCTTCTTAGGCTTTAAACCTCAAGTTCATTTATGTTCATTTTATGTTGTAATCTTGGCATATACAAGAGGCTTTATCCTAAAAATAAATGAGAATAGGTCTGATTTAACCTAACGTCTTACTTAAGAGCTTATTTTATGTATTATTTTTTATTTGCTTCATAATTTTGCTCCAGCATGAGGTATGAATTGTCGTGTTGGTTATGATTGAAACTTAGTTGTTACCAGCTGGTTGTTACCATGGTTTCCAAATTCCATAGTTGCACTGTATTGACCTTCAATAAAACAGTGTTTCTTAATGATATTATTTTTGTTACCATTGTAACACTTTAGTCTAACTATACCGTGTCCATAGCAACACTCTTATAAACAGTATATCTATCCCCATACTCTCTCCATAGTAACACAGTTTCCAGATGTTTATTTGTGTTTAAACTTCTCCTCATAAGATATTTCCTACTAACATTCTTTCTGTGTCCACACTTTTCGTTCAACCCATATTGTTTCCGGAGTATATTTTAGAGTAACACAGTTTCCTTTAGTAACCATAACGCTGATATCTGTTTTTAGCTTGGCTATACCCACTTCACCAACTTTTGTGGCATTCTATTATTGTTTCCTTAGCAACGCATTTAGTAGTCACACTGTTTCCCTAGTAACCAGAATATGTATCTGTGTTTTAGCTGGGCTATACCCCACTTCACCAAGCCGCACAACAAGGACACGTCCTCGTGATAAATCTCCTTCTCAAATATGGCGCCAACCCTGATGCCCTCACAAATGTGAGTATAATGATGCACTATGGGATATATAATGATGTTTAAGATTCTATAGTAGTACTAATCAAGAGAATTACATGAAAATGGAATTTAAAGGTTGATTTACAGTTAGTTGTCGTTGTTGTTAAACTAAAAGTTTGTTCTATTGTAAATGTCTGTTGTTTGTAGACTGGGCAAACAGCTCTATCTATTGCCGATCGTCTAGGCTACATTTCGGTGGTAGAGGTGTTGAAGAACATTACCACAGTCTCCGTGACAACAACCACAACAACAGAGGAAAAATACAAAGTGGTTGCCCCAGAAACGATGCAGGAAACTCTTCTAACAGATTCTGAGGATGAGGGAGGTGGGTGGATCAATATACTTGTTTTGAACAAAAATAAAATTTATTATTTTATATTTTTGCACGCTTTTTAGTATCACTTAATCCAGATACAATAGACTGGATCAAATGATTCTCACACAAGTGTTATATTGAAAACATTTAGTTTAGTCTAATAATTTATTTTTAATTTCTTTATATTATTAGAACATGGCGTAGGTAGAAGAGGTATTTAAACATTCACATATTGTGGGAACTAAGTGGTTGAATGAGGTGGAAAATTTACTGAAACTGAAAATGGAAAACACTTTTACACATTTACTAAATGTTATAATTCATTAAATGTTTGTGTCGTCATGGTAACCGATTCATAAGTTGGTAACAGTTCCTAATGTCTATAGTAACCACTCAAACATCAAGCATGCAGCTGAAAGACTAAAATTAAGCTTTGGATTAAGTTTGCACAGATCTCATTGAAATCTACATTGAGCTTGCTAATGCATTTGTTTTTCTCAAGCTCACCTATGTCATAATTCAGATGGGTGGGTGTTAATACAATATTTAATTTTCTATGATAATAAGATATTTTGCAATGCATGGGGCTCTTATGGGTTAATATAAAGGCAACTTAATGTATATGTATATTTGTTATTCAATTCACATTATATTTTACCATTATTATTATCATTATCATTATTATTTTTAAACATGTTGTTATGATAAATGTCTACTGCATGTATGTACTAAATCTATAAAGTTGTGTTACAACCAACCTGTACTTAAAGGATATTGTAAACATGTTAAAGTTTAATTTTGCATGTTGAGGCGTAACTGTATTATTTTAGGCATTTAATTAAGTAATATCAGCCTTCTGATCATACCTAGAAAAGCTAACATTAATATGTAGATCATTAAATAGTAAAATTCAACATAGAATGATCCTTTACTAATTCCTTAATGTTTATAACCAAACTACCCAAATTCAGAAGGTTTATATTGCTTTTCAAATATTTTCTTTATTTGACTGTTTGGTTTTATGTGTTTTTGTTCAGAAAAAAGTCCCAAGAGATTAACTATGACACGGCTCAGTTCACTCTTCAGCCCAATGCATGGTATGTCAAAAGCAGACGGCTTCTGTATTCAGCATTGCATTATGGGTAGTCATGACAAGGTCATTCATACCCTATAATGTAATCCATAGCATGCTTTGAATTGTTCAGATTGGCACAGATAGTAATTTTCTATCATCATTTAAGTGTGCTTTGCATTGTGCCAAAATCCTTTCCTTTGTTTATAGTGTATTGTTTATTATATGTCTTGTTTGTTAGCATGATAGGGTATTCGATTGGGACTAATTTGCTTGCTTGGGTGTAAGCAGCATTTCAGGACTTCATGGAAAACAATCAATTGAATAGCCTGTGTTTGTTATCATGCTATTTTGTCTCATTGCCTAAGGACTTTAGGAATGCATATTTAATTTCTGCCCACCTTTTGATTAAAAGTTAAGCTCCATCTATAGTTTCTTTCCTTTATTCTCTAAAGATATCATGATGGTTATGTTTCATATCACAAAGTAGAGGAAAGAGAGGAATTTCAAAGAAATAAAGATATTGTGGGTCGGTTTTTCATATGAATCGAATAAGTTATGCATAGCTTACATAAGGTTCACTTCAACAGCCGCCTCTCGGCCGATTGAGTGTTTTGTTAAAAATTTAATGTCATTCTGACCAAAATACTCAATTGGCCAGGTGCGGTCCAAAATATAATTAAATAGAGAAATGAGGTGAAATAAGCAAGACCATTGTGATATCTTAGATGAGGAAATTCCTATGTGTTAAGATGCTTATTAAGATGTTACTGCTTAGAAATAAAAATGTAACTGCATTGTTATGCTTAGGGGTAGCTCTAAATATTATTGTTACTTACATAATTTGTATTATCCTCTAGATAATAACTAAATTGAATGCGCTTGTAGTAGTTCGGGCCCACCCTGTACATTTATTTTAGTGAATTTGTAATATTTTTTCCTAACATTAACACTAAGTTAATATCTCAGGTTTTCTCATAGCTTTTCATTTTATCTACCAGGCAATGCCGAGGAAGCCCCGCTTTCTGAACAACACGTATATGTAAAGCATTACGAGCCGAAACAGGTTGTAGGTCAAAGTAATGCGACAATGGAGGCCCTAGTTGGCCCTCTAGAGAGTAAGACAATTGTTCATCCTCCCCCTGATGTTTTGCAAATTTTAACATTGTCATAAACTTACTAAATACCGTACTTACCAAGTCTCATGTTCAATGAGTTTTTGAACATCAGATGTGAGACTGTTTTAACTTTCTCCAAATGATTATACTAATGAAGTTAAGATTATTTGATGCAGTATGATATTCCATGACGTACCATTAATTTAAAAAATTCAGAGGTGCTAACAATGATTCTGATGTATAGAATGTTATCGTGATCATGCTTAAAACACAGCAGCCTTGAAAAAGACGGATAATATGAGAGAAATTCTGTGAACTAGGCATGGCCTCAGGCATTTGATATATGCAGATGAGCTGAGTGTAGAGTATAGCTTTTACTAACTTCAACATATAGTTAAATCACTGCCCCAGGTATTGAATATTCACGCTTTCAGTAGGTTACGTTATCAGAAATGGCTGACAAAAGTACAACTTGTTGCATAATTGGAATTAATCACTCTTGATTGATACCAGTAGACCAGAAGGCAGCACAGTATGAAGTAAGAGGTGTCTAATTGTGATTAGCATTTACGCAAGACACATCTTTTAGTTCCTGTGACTTCCTTTTTATCTGCCATTTTTATGAAGGTAACTGCAGTTACTGTCATTCACCTGGTGGGTACAGTGATCATGTGATTTTATGAAAATTGTTTATTTGATATAAACAGTAATAACAATATATACATGAATTAAGATATATGAAATTAACCAGTTTTTGAAGAATGCATGCTCATTGAAGCTTTCTCCTCATGAATTTCAATTTTTGATATGCAATAAACAGAATCGGAAATATATTGAATCACATGTTTAGGAGCTAGACAATTTAGTTATATGTTTATTATAAAGCAGTAACAAACTAAAAAATAGGTGTTAATATTTTATGCGCTCGAGTTATGTTGAAAATATAATTTTCAAAATTGTATGAATTTTAGATAAAATAGATTTTTAGAGATATAATGTATCTGTCATAGGTTCTATGACTCTACCTTAGCTTCCCTTAAAAGCTTTTTCATTTGTGATTTACTTACAAATTCAAATTCTTGAGATCCCACGGATAAAAATTTAACATAGAAAGCTGAAAAAGTGAAAAATAGGAATAACTGTTGTAGTTCTAAAATATAATTTTGAAAATTATATCTGCTTTCCTTGTTTAGCTTGCTTATGTTTATTCTAGCTTTTGTTCTTTACATTTTCTTTTAAAAATGTTATCATAGTTAAATAAAAATTAGGGTTAATTATCCATATTATCAACATGGCATTTACACAATAAGGAGTATGGGGTTAACTTTACTATTGCTTGCACCATGTAAAAGGTTAAGAAGCCAGATTTAATTCAGTTTAAACAGTAACACATTAAAGGACCTCAGAAAGTAACTTATTTTGCTACCTTCTATATAAAAATGAAATTTTCTCTGAGGGAATCTGAGATCACAAAATATCAAAATGAAATGAACAGACTATAAACTTACTTATTACTTGATAAAATTTATTTATGAGGAATGCGATAAAATTTCAAATTTTGATATAAGTAAACAGATTTAGAAATGAAGAAGACAAAGAAACCTTATCAAGCAATGAGTTAGTTTCTTATACCTTTAATGTGGGACTGATATCTGGCAGAAATTCTAGTGGTTACTATGGTTACTATAAAATACTAGTGGTTACTATGGTTATTATAAAGATACCACTTTTTCTTGAATTCTATATATTGCAGGATAATATGTATGTCAAAGGTACTTTTATGATATGGATATTTAGGAGTTGATTTGAAGATTTAGAAATCCAGAAATCCTCATAATTTTGGAGAGTTATGAATATTGTATTGTACACCATTCTTTGATTTTTATGATCACTTTCAATTTATTTAATAAACAGTACAGTACAATTATCACATAATTATTATCATTATTATTGTTATACTTGGGGATGATCATTTTATACATAATAAGCAGGGTTAGTTTTGAGGGATAGTATCTTGAAATGTTCTGATCTGATTTTTAATCTTTTTGATATTCTCTGCAATTTTAGGTGAAGATCACACACTAAGTGAGACGTCATACAACTACATGACGGAGAAGGAGATGAAGTACATGGCAGATGACAGCATGTCACCATCTGGCCTTAAGGTAATGTTTGATATTTCGGATGCTTTGGCACTATGGTCTCTACTATGGTGCATCTTCACTCTGGATCTGACACCAATGGTTGCTGCAAACCATAGATATGGGTTAGGGTCAGATTATGCATGAAATGTTGTAAATCTTCATTTTTAAGGTTCTAGAAATGATTCAATTTCTTCAATTTCTGATTATTATAAGTTGCATGTTTTGTATAATTTGAAAATACAAAAGGAATGTATATTTATCACCTCCCACTGAATTGTGTATTGCTGTATTATCGTATGTAAACACGGATTATTCTTCACTTTCTTCTTTGAGCCTATGAGATATAAATGGTCCAGTGGTCAATATGGATGAACCATAGTACCTTTGTATCTTACAGGTTTCTTTGTATATGATGTCCCAGTAGTTGAATGTTGTAGATGTGATTTGTTGTATAAGAGGCTTAAATTAAATGCCATTGTGGTTGCTTCAAGACAACTAATGTGAAAATATGGAGTTCTTTCCTCTTTGAATTTAAAGCAAAACCACCATGGCATTTCACCAAGTATAGTACACTACTACATGCAGATCCTTCTTATCATTGTACCAGGCATAATTTCTCAAAAGATTTCTTAAAAGAGATTGAATCAAAATTTTCAAAAATCACAGATGAGCACATTTCTGAAAAAAAATTTATTGCTACTGAAAAAGTACAGTATATATAACGAAAAAAGTTTTATGATAACAGTATAATCCATCCCAAATCACCTAGAAGGATCCGCTATTGATAGGAGGCATTGAAGGTTCAGTGTTGTAGAATATTGTGTGTTGTTTTAGCCCCCTGGGGAGAGGGGTTACAGCATGACTGATGGTTTCACACCAAGCATAGCCACAGCAGGCCTAGCAAGTATGGAAACCTCACACTTCCAATATCCAGATGAGAGTTTCAATTACAGCTACCAGGTATAGAATGGTGTCACGAAATGAGGTCATTATGCCTCTGTCTGATATAACTCTTTATTTTTATCTATTTTTCTGTTTATATTGTTGTTTTTTTATCATTATGTATGTTTTGAGTTTATATAATACAATATGTTAATTTTTACATTGATTTAATATTGTAGTATTTTTGTATCCAAACATTTACATTTATTACATCTCACTGTTCCCCATAATGAGGTGTTAGTTGATTGATGCTGAGATCTATTTAGACTCGATTATCTAAAAACATGTTCAAAGTCTATTTTAACTAAGATGATGTTTTCACTTGTACATGTTCCTCTCTCCTGACTAGAAAGTTGAGCTTAAAGATTAGGCCTTAAAGAGAGAATCAGATATAGCGAGCAGGCTTAACAAAAAATTGTTTCAATTTTAGAATATTTTTGGCTCATGACATTCCTTGTCATGTCTATTTTCTAAAAATCACAAAAGTGCATACTTTATTCCAGGAAAACTAAAGCTTTTTACAATAATGTATTATTTTCTATAAGAATGGTTACCATTCTTATTATTTGGGAGAATTTAAACATTTTTCACTCATTTTTGCACTTTGAATCATTAATAACTTCACCAATTTATAACATATTGTGAATCTTTTGGCAGATATTGTATTTGATATTGTAAGGAATAGATTGGTAGGTCAATTATACATGTTGCTTGTAATTTTGTCACCCCCTATAGATCAGATTCTGCCTTTAACAATTAAATGTTTGTTTATACTTTTGAAGAGACAAATTGTAAAATTCAATGTCTTCTGCATATTGATATAAAATTTACACTCATAATGATAATGAATGAAGAGACTTCTTTAGATGTGTTTTTGATGCCAAAAGTCGGAAATTGAATGAGAATATATGATCTTCTAATTATGTGCTAGAGTTTCTATTTGTGTCAGTTGTTCCTAATCTTTAACGATAATCAGTTGTGTTACCTTAAACCTCAACTCCTAAGAAACAACACAACATGATTGTATGAAAGTGAGTAAATGACTAAAGGATATGTTATGAGTAACTATAATTGAAAATTGGAAGTAATGTTAAATAAACAAATGTATCGTAGAACATTTACAGGAATATAACAAAGCTATACTTTCACTCTTTAGGGAGAGGACGCTATCATACCAGCAAGCATGTCTGCATCATATGCTTCATACAAAGGCCAATCACCAGGACCAGATGCTTACGACAAGGACACCATGAGAATTACATCTGATGCCGTTAATGAGGGATACAGACGTCGTGCCGAAAGCTCCTACAGTGGACATTCTTTCGCCTCATCTTTTGATCCAGATAATGTCCTCGTAGACAAAACTCCAGCTTCTTCAGGGTATGTGTTGCTTTTATGAATACTAGAGTGATTATAAAAGGGGTAGGGGTGAAAATTGAGTGGTTTGGATTTGCGTTTTGTTCAATGATTGAAAAAAGGCTTTGGGAATAACTATATGTATTTTCTGGTTATTTTAGGGCAAAATAAAAGAGATGTAAATTCACTAAAAAATGCCTAAATTACTGATATACAACTTTGAGTATTGAATGTCATTGAATTATAATTGAATTTATTGAAATCCAAAGATTTTGCTTCTCATTAAATCATGAATATAATCAAATACAGGGTGGGCCAAAAAATTTTGCAACTTTTTTAAAAGGCTAGAAAAGTATCAAAACATAAGGGTATTGCCATAAAAAATTATTTACAGAAACTTAAGGATAGGCATATATTACCATTTAAATACTAAAGCTAAACTGGACTTCAATCTTTTTTATCAGATCTTTGAATATCAATGGTCTATTGTTCATGTGTCCGAGAATTACTGTTTTTCCTAGAAAATGTTTCATTTATGTGATCAACAATAACACATTCATTATGTTCACTAAATCTGTTACAATCTTGGATAACTGTTCAACCAATGTCTAGTACAGTTTATATCAGTATCTAGTCACTATGATATTATGTATCTATTGATTATTTATTAAACAAATTTTATGCATCAACCTTTCACCTTCTCTACAAGGAGACATGGGCAGAACTGGTGAATGGCGCGATCCAGCGATTCTTGTGGTAGTTCTCTCCACTTCTCCTGCTTCTCCTTCTCCTCCAACTTCTTTTAGTTTAACAATAGTTTGTGGGGGATTACCATTAACTGCAATAAGCTGCTCCAGGTGCCCCGAATGGTGATAGTCACAGGAGTTTGCATCTGGGGTATTTGGCAGCCATTCATCAGGACTAATGAATCAAGGCTTATTCTCCTCCAGATATTCCAAAGTGACTTTTGCCCGATGGCTGGGAACGATACGGAAGGTGAAAGGGGATGCATAGAACATTTGTTTAATAGATGATTAATAAATACAATATAACATAATACCATAGTGACTAGATACTGATATAAACTAGACATTGAGGTAGACATTGTTTAAACAGTTATCCAAGATTGTAGCAGATTTAGTGAACATTATGAATGTGTTATTGTTGATCACATAAAATCATAGAAAGTCACATTTTCTAGGAAAAATGGTAAATCTCGGACACATGAACAATTGACCATTGATATTCAAAGATCTGACAAAAAAAATTGAAGCCAGTTTTAGCTTTAGCATTCAACTGGTAAAATATGCCTATCCTTAAGTTTCTGTAAATAATTTTTTATGGCAATATCCTTATGTTTTGATACCTTTTTAGCCTTTTAAAAAAGTTGCAAAATTTTTTGGCCCACCCTGTACATGCATAGTACAACAATGGGCGAATAGAGTTGAGAAACTTCCTGTATTCTTGCATATACCTTTATTCTGAAATATCTACAGACTACTAGACTTATGTGCAATGTAAATAATATTTAGTGATAATTGTATAGAATTTATCTCTAAGTAATTAATATAACACCTTACAATTTACTATGTGCATGTTAAATGTAGTTTTGTGAAACATTATAGTGCACACTATTTTTATTAAACACCAAAAACCAAGCAACTTGAAATACATGTAGCTTGCAATTGCATGGATGAGAAAAATTAATTAAAACAATTATTTTATTTTTCTGATTATCAAATCTAGCTTTCATGTAGAAAATGTTTATGATTTTCCTCAAGTCATGACTATTACCATTTATTTAAGTTACACATAATATAAGAGTTAAATTGTTCACTTATTTTACTTATTGGTTATTTTTCATTTGTTGTGTATAAATATATGTCATTGTGTTTTGGTTCAGTTATAAATATAGGAGTTACAGTGTCAAGTATTTTATCTTTTATTTAATTTTATTTTTTTATGGTATATGTATACAAATTAAAGTTTTATGTTTAGTAATGATGAAATTGTCTTTTACTCATTGATATTATAAAGGCCATTTCAACATTCATTTGGCATATATTTTTACTAGAAGATATTTTTGCATGAGTGGCATATAGTGTGTGAAAAATATATAGTGTGTGATTGATTGAGTGTGCAGTAAAACAAAACTAATATATACTTTGTATTTTCCTGGCATCATATAGAAGTAAACTCAAATGGAAAAGGTATGGTATTCAACCTGTCGTATCTTGAAAAGGAAATCCTAATTTTGTTATATTTTCGTTTTGAAGCATTTGTCGATTCTAAAATGTAACCATGTGCACGATAACTAGTCTACCTGTAATGTGCTACATTTGTAGACAATGGTTATGGCTATTGTAACAATTTTTAATCTATTTTCTCTGTCTCTGTAGTGTGTTATTCAAAACCAAGCACTTTAATCGGTTTAAGTATGTTCAACCATATAATCATCTTACAGTATATGGCATAGATATGAAATATGGCATAAGTACGGTCTCAGGTAGAATATATCAGGCATGTCAAATGTTGCTATAATAATGGTACTGGTCATTTCACCTTGTCTCCCTGTAAATTTTGAACAATGTATCTGATTTTCTTGCATCTGTTCTTGCAAAATGTCATGCTAATATAGTCCATGTTGATACCTCTTTTTGCACCATTGCATTTTCAAATAATATGGCAAACTTGATATTGAACTCTTTCAACCAGGAATTAAATCATGTCAATATTTCAGAGCATGGATTGTTTATAGATTATACTTTATAATATTTTAGCATGTTGGATGAAATACTAGAATTACATCCATGTTTGAAAGTAGTTTTGTCATTTTTGAGGTGTGCATTTATGGCAGATAGGAGCCCATTCCGAGATAACATAACACATGTGATGCTTTGTACTAATATAAAAATATTAACATTGCAGTACTGTATATTTTTGGAAAGCATTTGCATTACATTTTTTGTATCAGATACTAGCTAGATTTTAACATGGCATTTCTGCTGACTTCTTAAAACACTGAATGTCTATGATACAACTTTTGCTCGAAAAAAGATACATCACAGCACTGTCGCTTGATTTCAGTTTCCTGGTAAGCTTCATGGTTGATGCTCGAGGAGGAGCTATGAGAGGTTGCCGTCACAGCGGGGTGCGTTTGATCATCCCACCACGCAAGGCATCCATGCCAACACGTGTTACATGCAAGCTGGTGAAGAAAGAGAAGTTGTTGCACCCACCCCCTCTGATGGAAGGAGAGGCACTGGCCAGCAGAATCCTGGAGATGGGACCTCATGGAGCACAATTCTTGGGGTAACTTCAGTTTTGAATGTTGCAGCTCAGAAAATATATTTGGCTGAAATCATGTTCAAAGATGAGTGTCATAGCATAACAATAAATATAAGAATAATATATTTTTGTGGAAAATTTAAATTCATTTTGTGAAGTTACATCTAAATTGTTCATGTGCATACATGTACATACTAACATTGAATGCCATTTTGTTACAGCCCTGTGATCATTGAGGTGCCTCACTACGCCTCTCTTAGAGGACGTGAGCGTGAAATTGTCATCTTACGCAGTGACAATGGCGAAACATGGAAAGAACATACAATGGAGGCAACTGATGATGCAATCCACTCGACCTTGAATGGGTCATTTGAAGGTGAAGGTGATTGTTAAGCATGTGGTGCCACCTATAGGGCCCTGGGTAGCATGCTGGTGGTTTGTAAGCTTTATCCGCTTGTCACAGCAAACAGTTCAGTGATCGGGAGAATCCAGATTTATTTGTTGAATTATAAAGAGTTTGCATATTTCTGGGGGAAATTTGCATACCGTTTGTCTTATCTTTTTACTAAGATAACATGAAATATGTACATTACATATATGGGTCAAAAAGATGGTTAGGTTTTTATTCCATTTATGAATGAGATGGTTTTTTGCTGGGACAAGTGGAATATAATTTCTTTTATCTTTGTTGATTTATACTATCATAAAATCTCATGGATAAAATGTCACAATTACGTCTAAAACTACAAATCGTGACGGAGAAGAGAGGAATAACCCGACTCATGCTACTATAGCAACCATAAGTTTTTTCTTCATGGACGTTTTCATTATTATTTGAGATTTCAATGTATGTATAGTGTAGGTATACTGAGTGAAAATTTCAGTCAGATTGACTCAGAAACAAAAAAATTAGAGTACTTTTGCTCAAGCTTTTTGAATGCCCTGCACATGTACATGATTATAGTGACATTTTACACATGAGTGCTACCTATTTTTATAATTAATAATCATTACATAATCAGCCTAAATATTTGATTGTTCTTCATTATTGTTGAGTAAAATTGTCTTTTATTCAACCAAATCATTTTCTATTCGAAGAATTTCATGATAGACTGTTGTGTTTTCAAAATGTATAGCAGGAAAAGATAAATTGGAAAATGACTGTCATGAAATTCTTTGAGCCATCAACTCATAACATACATTATAATTGTTGTTGTTTGTAAGATAGAGCCAGACAAATGAGACTTGGAGTTCTGCAGTAGTGGAATGATAAGTTATCTCCTGTTTTCATGTCTTTGTTATTGCTATTCAAACATGACATATGTAATACTCACAAAAAAATTTACATTTCTTAGGCATTTTATATTTTGACAATGCAATATTGAATGATAATGCATTGCAAACAAGCCATCTTATTGGCCCATTTGAGTTAGTGTCATGTTTGAATTTGTATTCCACCAAATGGCACTTAATAAGTCCACATAAGACTACCCTGTGGTGTTCTAATTTCTATCACACCTTCTATTTATATATCTCTATTTATATATATTTAAAACTACCTATTACCTCAGAATATTTTCTGGCACATATTTCCACCTTTTATTAAAATCACAACCTGTTGGTGCCATTTAGTTAAATACATTATGATTTTTCATGTTGCTTTTAGAATTAGGCTTTTTATTATAATTTATCTGATAACTAGCTATATTTGGTTTGGGACTAGTATAATGTTTTATAATTATTTTGATGGTTAATAGATAAAACTATGTCAATATTTGTATTTGCTTTGTTACTTTTAGTTCTAAGATTATTTACTGTTACTGTGGAACCAAATCATATTTCCATAAAATTATGTTACATACTGTAAGATTTAACAGAATTTAATTTTCACAGAATATTTTACTGCAATTAACATTTAAAGTTAAAAAGCTTAGCATTAACACTAACACACAGATATATACAGATAAATATACATAAATAAATGGATTATTTTATTACAATTTACAGGTTACCAGAAAGCAAGTTGAAATGATGCTGTACACGTTTAAAATCAAATTGGGGTTTTTCTTACACATTTACTATGATCTAGGTTTCATATTAATATGTCGCATTGTAGATCTAGAGACTGCAGAGGATCTTTTCAAGAGCCGAACAACACGCATTCTGACCACAGACTTCCCACAATACTTTGCTATTGTGACACGTGTAAGACGGGAGACTAACACTATTGGTGTTGAGGGTGGTATGTTAAGCTCCACTGTTGTACCACAAGTACAGCTAGTTTTCCCAGAGAGAGCACTCAAGAAAGAGATCAAGATTGGTCTGCAGGTATGAAATCATTGCACTTAAAGAAACCTATAAATCTTTACCCATTGAAATTAGCTCTTTCAAAATTATTTTGAATTTCAGAAAGAGTAGAATTAACTGTTAGTTTTTTGTTTTGCACATTGGCTCAAAATTGATCCATGTACCATTACTTTTTTTCTTGACTTACAGGCCCAGCCATTGCCTCCCGAGATGGTCTCCAAGTTGCTAGGGAACCGTGTTGCAGTGAGCCCCATAGTGACAGTTGAGCCAAGACGTCGCAAGTTCCATATGCCATTCACACTGACCATTCCTGTGCCGAAAGCCTCTCAGAAGGGTATGATTAACCAATATGGCGGAGATGCTCCTACACTACGATTGTTGTTCAGTATACCAGGTAAGACCCATCATTAGAAGCATCACCTACTCCTCCTGTTCTTACATCCCCTATTCCTGGAGAGGTTTGTCTCAGAGTTGTTATGCCATGGTTCACAATTCATAGATGTTCTCCATTGAAATTTCAATCTTATATGATTCATGAACCAGGGTATGGGCGGTCATAGGCATTCAAGAAAGAAAGCCCATGGAATGGTATAGAAATCCATAGTGAAGCATGAACTAATCTAGTGTGATATCATAATGGATAAACCTCTCCCCATGACAATTGTTAGCACCCTCCACAATGAGTTTTGAAAATTGCTATGAACATTTTTCACTAAATCTTGTACTAATTCTAAAGTCGATAAATAGTAAGAAAGAAAGAATTGTTCATGTTATTTGTAGTTGATATTAACAATACCATAACAGAGCAACACCAGATCCCCTCTGACTGACTCTTTCTTCATTATTCATTTTATTTAGTTGTTGTTGAGTGAATCTAAACTTATTTTTAGTTAACTTAATTGACCACAGAATCATATACCTTATATTTGACCTTGACCTTACGGCCATCTTAGATTGGTTGATACTGTTGCTGCCCTCTATATATACTAATAATGATTTAGTTGGTTCTCGTGGCATGTTGCAGTATTGTAGTACATGTATGTGTATCAGTATGTCTTCATTCATTCATGGCCAACATTTTAAAAGCTACATGTAACAAATTATTCGATTGAAAAATTATGTTTTATGTAAAAAAATCGAAACAATAAAAAAATTAATATCATCTTTTGAAAAAAAACAATGCAAAAATTAAATAGAAACAAATTGCTTGGCTATGTATGTTTGGTGTTGAATGTGTCGTGTGCTGATGTTTGCCATTGATTTGCTTACCAATTTTTTGCAGGAGGGAGCAGCCAATCAAAATTAGGTATTGCATTCACTTCTCTAATATTCACCTTCAAAAACAGTTATTGTCACCAGATATAGATCACAATATATTATGACATGAAAAGTCAGTTGCGACTCTCTTTGGATGTATGATGTCAAAGCAAGACTCATGATATGTTTAAAGTGCCTGTAAAACATGCTTATTTCACAAAGTTTCTCTCTTTGAATAAAGTCTGAGAGTTTTAGTTGTTTTGATGCAAATTAGAATAGAAAAACTGATCTTGTGCCAATCGGCCCATAAAATTGATGCAACTGATTTTCCACTTCAGATCAACATTTTATTATTATTTCGAAGTGAGAAATGCTTGTTTCAAGCAATCACAATCTGTCAATGATAAAAAGATGATTTTTGATTATATTTTTTAATTTATGAATGAGTCACATTCGAAATCTATCTCTTGACAATCACTTACTTTCCCTTCCAAAGACCTGCACTGCTTTTGCAAAATATCCAATCATATATTATTCACACACCTGCTTTAATCTTTACTTCTTCAATTTATAATTTCATCTTTCTTTCAGCATTGACATCTTTCTATATACAGTTTATATTTTCAATGTTCATAATTTGAACCTCACAATTGTCTCTGTATATCATTAGTGTTTGATTGTCACATTTAGCGCACCTGATATAGCATAGAATGGAGAGGTTAAGCTACCGTATAAAATCCAAAACGCAACTTAAACGTATCAATAGGCCCTATACAAATACATGTAGAGTTCACACATAAATAGCCGTTCAGCTCTAGTGTTTGTTTAGACTACACCATAGCTTGTAATGATTACATAGTATCCCACTGATGAAGTTCAATAGCTGGTTTTCTAATACATATTTTAAACGAGCTCGTTTCGTAAGATTATTGGAGTTAAATCATGCGTAACATACATCATCTTCTTCAGAAAGAATTATACTCTGCATCGAAATCAAAATTGCAAGGATAGTATTCAACAGACATGAGTATAATGATTCCCGTTGATAGCAACGTGAAAATTTAAAATCTCCCGTTCTAAACACGCAACTTTGAAGTTGAACGGGTATCTGAAGTAGACTAAAGCGATACAAGCCTATGTTGATTCAATGTACTTTGCGTTTACGTATACGTTTTGAAAAACCGTATTTGCTTAACCTCTCTAATATCATAGGCTGTTACTGGAGTGACTAAGTGGTATTTTATGAACAATATGGTGATGTGTTTGTCACTGATGAGTCTTGAAATTGTTCACAATGTTCAGTCATTTCAAGCCGAATTGAGTTATTGATATCAGCAATATTAATATCACTTTACTATTTCAAGGTTTGTTTTACATAACTTGAAGCAGGAAATGTTAATTTTGCTCATTTATAGTAAAAAGTCTTCAATTGATACTGGGTAAGGCAAAAAAAATTAATTAAATTTGATTTTTTAAGTGAGCATTTAAGGTCATTAAAATTGAATTTAAGTTTAATGAAATTGAATTTAAGGTCATTGAAATTAAATCTAAGCTTTTGAAATCATCATTTCATGCATTTTATTTTACACTTGCTAAATTGCTAAAACATGTGCTTGACATTAACTGGGCCTAATTCAGCCAGAGCACATTCATGCAAGGAAATGTGTTACATTCATCAAACTTCAAATCATTACTTTCCAAAAACAAATAGATTACTTTAATACGAAAATCATCATTTTTTATCTGCTTAGCTTTTAATCTATTATAATTATTGATGTTTTCTATTTTAAAATTGTTTATATGGTATTGTATATGTATATAAGTTTTCTTTTTATTTAAGTTAGTTATTCTGACTTTACCTCCTCACCCCATATATGACATTACCCTAATCACAGTTTTTAAATGTTAAAACAAACCTCTTATCTCTGTATTTCCATCATATTATTCATTTCCTAAAGAATACAGTAGTGATTTAAATGTGAGGTTTGCCTTAACAGAATTAAAGCACTTTTCGAGGTATAGGGTCATACTAGATTTTAACTCTTATAATATTGATATATTACCATTAAAATGTCATGGTAGTCATTATTTTATTATAGAAAATAAAGTGTAAAAGAGAGAAATAAGCAAGGAATAAATCAGTTAACATGAAGTTACATATTTCCTGTTATACCAAAACTTTTTTGACTTAACTTGATCACAAATATTCAACAAACACATTTCTGCCATTTGTATATAACTTCATTTGTGTTTATATTCAACTCTTTTATCTCTTATAGTCTCACATCTAGTTCTAATTGTTGTTCAGGGGAATTTGAACATGAAATGAAGTTACTATAGGCTTCTTAAGTCAGTGTCATCATGATTTTCTGACTTTGTATTCTTATTTAAGAGTATAAGTGAAGGCGACTTTTTGCAAAGGGTAATTTAAAATATGACCACCATGGTGTTTTACTTATAGAAAGAAGAAAAGAATTTTAGTACAAATGCATTAATTGATTCTGTTTGTTGCTTATAGGTGGCACCTCTCCTGCCGAATGGGAAGACATTACTGGAAAAACCCCATTGACTTTTGTCAATGATTGTGTGTCTTTTGCTACAAATTTTTCGGCAAGGTATGTGCCTTATTACAAGTTTTATCGATGTTTTATGATAACTGATATTTTGAGCTACACAAGCCGAGATGATCTAGTCTTGTAAATGAGGCATTTGTTTTTTAATAATGTAAAAAAGTATTTTTATTCTGCCTTCTGAATTTATACACCTTATAAATGTTATATCATTATTTCGATACCGCACATAGGTTTAGTTTCTAAAAATCCTTCAAATTCTTTCTCATTATTTAATCTAATTACAAGAATTTGCTGAGTTGCACTACCATACCCTACCATACCCTACTGGTTAAAAATTATTTTCGCATGATTCTTAATATTTTCAGATATTGGTTGATGGACTGTCAAAATGTCAATGATTCAACCAAGATGGCGACTGAACTTTATAAAGAGGCAATCCACGTGCCATTCATGTCCAAATTTGTCGTGTTTTCCAAACATACTGAACCTCAAGAAGGACGGCTACGCGTTTTCTGTATGACAGATGACAAAATGGATAAAACTCTGGAAACCCAGGAGCATTTTACAGAAGTGGCCAGGAGTAAGGAAGTTGAGGTATGAAATGTTGCATGATGGGATACAAAATGGCTGATTCGTTGAAGCTTTTGGACCTAATTTCCAAATATGATTTGCAATGTTGGATAATGCTTCCTCTGAATGCTTTATAACGAATAAGGTGGGGAATAGAGTGGTATTTTTGATGCGGGGTATAATATGGTATTCAAATCACAAAAAATTTTAAATGCCAAAAATATAAAATTGATCAAAACAAACAGGAGGAATATGAAATCCATTAAAATATTGGAAAAATGCAAATTATAACCAGTTCATCTATTCCATGACATACAAGATTGTTATTATTTGTCCAATTAAAATGATGAATTAGTAAGATAGATAGAAGTACGTTGGCATGACATTAACACTTCATCATACAAATACAGTATGCACATTTTTTATTAGGAATAATCATTGAACGTGAAGTCTTGTGGCAGCTGGGGGGATTAAGCCTGTAAAATACACTCTATATCTCGCCTTGAACTTCAATCTAACCAAACAAAACTATGCTGATAGCTGGATGTCTCACATTTAGTTCAAAAGATTTCTCATAGAATTTTGTTGGATTTTTTCATGCTAGCAGAAGAAGGATCAAAATCACTGCACGCAAGTTTCGAATGCCAAACAGCTTAATAAAGTGGCCCCTAAGCGTCGTACTAGTCAAAATGGGTTTCATAATCATTTGGGAATCATTATGGAAGTGTTATTAATGTTTTTATGGACAGTGTTAGTGGGGATTGCAACCCAGGCTTTTACATATGGGTGCTGGATTTGAGTTGTGTTCTTGTGCATGGTGTTGCCTGCCTGTGGTGAAATGTCAGTCTGGTCATGTTTTTAAAAAGTAAAATACAATTAAAAAGAGTGGAATTAGCGAGGAATAAATTGAATAGGCATGTAGTTCAAAGTCTAAATTGTAGAGAAATGAAAAATTAGACACTTTATTCAAATTTAAGAAAGAAAATATAGAAAGCATGAGCAGACAACATTTAAAGCAAGACCAGTCCTTATGTAAATAACTATTTTGGCCAGGCTTCACAGATATAATTTATAACATGAAAGTAAAGAATAAAGTAGAAATCATTCACGTTTGAAAATACAACATTTATTCAAATGATTTTCATGAAATGAAAGTGCAAGTGAAATGCCCCATATACACGTAAAAGCAGGAACACTATGATAAATTTGAATGGACAATTTAAATTTGAATGGACACTTTCAATTTTAAGATTGAAAAAATTGAGCCACTTTATCACTTTTGAAAAAGCATGAACCTGAGAGTGAATTCATTATTTTCTATCTACTAGTTGTGCATCGCCATCTATATCTTTGCCACCTATCCTCAGCAATTGTTCTTTTATTAAGCAGCTTTTAAATTGTAAATTTAATGTTTGCTTGAAATTCTTAACAATTTATGAAATTAATATAATGATATAATATATTAAACTTTTCCTTATTACCTTGTAAATATTTGTGAAAACTTGATTTACAGTCAAAGCAGGTGCATGCATAACGACTAACTCAAACAAGTTTGAATATTAATCATAACTTAATTATAGTAGTTGGCAGGCAATACAGTACATAGGCAGGCAACACTAATATAAGATTCCACTGTATTACAACTTATTTTGGTTTCAAAAATCTTAATTAAATATGCATAGCTTATTATGTGTCTCTTTCAGTACATTATGTTTTAATAATTCTAATTATGACTTATTTTGTGTTGTATGACATACCTTTCATTTTGGCATCACATTCATGTCAGCATCACATTCTTTGCTATCATGTAACCATACACATGCTTTATTGGGTGTTTTTTAAAAGAGCATTACATATACTAAAATATTAGTAATTAATTTGAAATTTGAAGAATTGAACCCTGTGCTCGGGGCTTATGTGAGTCACTCCACTCCAGTGTCTTGTGACACGAACCCACAACTACATATTATAATGTGTATGTGTATATAGTAATATATTTGGGGTGGTCATATATTATTTAAAATCAAAATGTACAAAACATATTCTGATTATCAAGTAACCCCGAACAGCTAATAATAATGGTGTTAGGCTTTTATAGGAAGCAAGTATATTTTATCATACAGTACTACATGCATTATGGTTGAAAGGGTAACACAATCTAATGCTTATTCTGATTTTCACCTCAATGGAACTGAAAGCAAAATAGTGCAGTATTTGTTTTGATTTGAATGTCACATAATATTATAAAGTTCTGTACATATTACTTATGAGCAGACTCAATTGAATTCATTCATAAATAATTAAATATTGATCAACATTAACTATTTTACACATAACATATAGTGAAAGAATAGAAATTTAGAATAAAAAATGAAAACATAACATGTGGTGTAAATAATGGGGTGAATTCATTCATAAGGAATAACTTTTTTGAATAAAAAGTGACTGCTTTACATATAGTGTAAATACAGCCAATATGAAAAATGGGGGAAATTTATTCATGAAAAATAACAATTTGAATTAGAATAAATATTGTATAGTAAAGATAAAGCCTGTATGAAAAGTTGTGGGAATTCATTCATAAAAAAATAATAATTTTAATTAAAAAAAGAAAGATAACATATAATGTAGATATAGCAAGTATAATACAGGTATAGTCAGGTGTATATGTTAAGGGCTTAAAATTATCTTATAGACCAATATAACAAGAAATCAAAATAATAGTATAATAACAGAACATTAAGAGAACAGAGAAGTATTTATCCTGGTATATAAATAGCGCTATCAACTTATCATTTCTCACATTGATTCATTATCATTATATGCTATATGCACAATAATTTGTTGGGCACATAGGCATGAGTCAGCAATGGTGCATGGCTTTACCCCGTACACTGCAGTCTGTGCCTGATGCTTGGTGTACAGAATATAGTTAGCTTAGGGATGGGGTAAATTATAACAGGTGTCACATCAATGATTTTAAATAAAAAAAAAAGTAATTAAAAAAGTTTGTGTATTTTATGATATTTTACATAAGGGATTGATATTACTTGCATGTCAAGCATTTTATTATCACGCAACATTCACTTAGTCTTGTCTAAGAATAATGCAGAAAAATGAAGCATGTAAGATTAAGAATCATTTTTTCATATTGGGTTTAATTCTCACTAACGCATCACCCATAAACTCAAAACCTCAAAATTTTGAATTTTCGATAAATTTTATCCGAGAGATTTGAAAGACTCTCGACTGATAGAAACCTTTCGTTTGAGGTAAGCCTGCAAAAGGATGAATAATTATCATGCATATTTATTTGATATACTCCCCAAGATGCAATATTCAAAATGGCTGTCTTCTTTACAGGTTCTTGAAGGAAAACCACAATGGGTTGAAATGGCTGGAAATCTCGTACCCGTCACGAAATCAGGCGAACAACTCCATATTAATTTCCATGCATTTAGAGAAAATCGTCTACCGTTTACGGTTCGTGTTCGCGATACAAACCAGGAGGCTCAAGGCCGTATTGCATTTATGAAAGATCCCCGTGTTGGGCGTGACCAACCTTCACAAACCCCTATATGTAACCTGAATGTATCACTGCCAGATGAGATAAAGGTAATATATATATGTTATTATCACGCAACATTTAGTTAGTCTTTTATATACATAGTATAGAGACTCATGATAGTTAGCAAAAAGTTGAAGTGGTTATGTTTATGTATATTAAGCAAAGTGGAAAAGAAACGACTTACCAAGCAACTGATGAGAACTGACTTGTGTCTTACTAAATGTAGAAACCTGGTAAAAAAAAGTTGAATAAGTTAGAAAAAAAGTGAGAAGGCATGGAGCTTACAATTTTAATTTTGTCAAAATGTGCTGAATGAGCAGATAAAGTGCCTCATTAACATATAATGTGATTAGACCCTTGTCATTATACTCAAAAGTCTGCTTTAATATTCTGGAAAACAATTTTTTTTTTTACTATAGGAAGAGAGTCTTACTCTAAGAGAGGAAGAAGCCAAGGAACTCAAGGATAAATTTGACCAAGTAAAAGGTATAGTTATCACAGATACTGTTACAAGAGCTGACCTCCACCTTGCTGATATTGCCGAGGCTGTTGGTGATGACTGGGTTATCCTGGCTAGGGAACTACAAATCACTGAGTATGAAACAACAACTATTCAGACTGAAACTACAGTGGTTAAAGACCAGGGTCTGGCTATGTTACAACTCTGGGTACAAAAAGAAGGAGATAAGGCAACTGGTATGACCATATTTTATTATTTTTTCTTTGGCCATTATATGACATTACATATTTGAAAATCAAGGAACAAACCAAGGTCTAAATAACTTATGGAACAAACTCATAATACAAAGTTACAGATAACATTAATAAAAAAGTCAGTACTAAATAGAATTACAAAATTAAATTTTATTTTGTACATCCTTCTCATTAAATTGTTGAATTTATGAATATTAAAAATGATTTTGAAATGTATTGCTTTTTCAGGCAATGAGCTGGAAGGTGCTTTACGTAGAATTGGTCGTGATGATGTTGTTCGTAAATGTATGACAAACATCGAAACTGTAACAGAAACTACCACATCAGTTGACGTCATGACCAAATCTGGAAACGATGATGAAGGTAGGAGACCGTAAAATAATTATATAGCTAAGGAGAGAACTTTGCCTTGATTTCTTCCCATGTATTTTCCAGATGTTTTCAGTAAAAATTAAATGTTTAATATATATCTTTTTGGCGATTTTAAAATATGCATCAGAAAGTGTTGTATTTGTAGGATTTGCCGCCTTCAAAGATGAACTTGGACCATCACGAGATGCTTCAATGAAACGAGGCTTATCATTGGACGTTTCTTACGATGAACAAGATATAGTAAAAGTAAGTGTTTCCCATGTTAATTTTTGTTGTGAAACTGGGCCACTTTGCTGAATTCCATGCGCATTCAAGGCCTGTTCAAAAAGTATTTTGCTAACATGAGATGGTTCAATGAATTATAAGCAATATAAGCATTAAATAATAAGTTTCAATACTGCCTGTTCTGGCTTTAGTGTTCTTATAATTAGGAGGTATGTATTCAGAATTTAAAAGATGGGGCTAAAAAGATGGTTTCAAAGGAACAGAGTAATATACACTATTTTTCATCTCACCAAACTAATGGTAACTAGCATTCTATATAGCTATATGCTGCAGAATTGATTGAAACTTTTTGAGCAGGCCTTGAGTGTAATATGCTTACTAAATATTGAGGTCTAGTCGTAGAGGTATAAGATATGCTCAGTCACCTTTTAGACTGTGCAGTATTATGTGATGCATGTACTATAACTAACCATTGTTTGCATGGCAGTCAATATTTTCTTGCATACTTTTACTTTGAATCTTTACTACTCTATGAAAAAAATCAAAAAATATAACATTTAAAGCTCAATGATTATAAATCTTTTTTGAATTCTGTAAAAATTCTATGAAGAGATAAGATTTGGGATGTTCAAATTTTGTTATTCCACTGTCAAGAATGATCTTTGAGTTAATTGACCTATGACTTTTTAGGCCTCTGCTAACTCAAATACTGGTTGTAAGATTTTGTTGACATTTGAAAAAAGGAATTCAGTCGTGTCAGTTTCTTAGGAATATTAGTCATGAAATATATTGCCAAAGACAGTCAAAATTCAGGAATTACAATTTATGAGAAAAAGGTTCCTGTTAGTTTTATTTGATCTCCTGAATTATTTCAAGGAAATAACTAAAATACATATACCGTAGTTAGAGCCTTTTAGAAATAAAACGTTTCATCCTCATAGTAAATGCATGTTGCAACTTTTCCCTAAATATCATAACTCCAGTTGCTGCTTTCACTATTTCAATCATGCTTTTTTGCTCCATGTAGAACTTAGAGGATATAGGGGAGGTGAGAGTTCATTTAGAAATTTGTTGTAATTTATAAAATGATTTTTTAGATTCCTGAATTCAACAAATTAAATAGCACTGTTAATGTTACAGAACACAGTGTTGCTATGGTAACATCAGCAATGTCATATATATTGTTATGCTTTTATGGTAGCATACTATGCTGATACTTTATTTATGATAGCATTTATACAGTAGATACCATATTAAATTCTGGTTACTATGGCAACAAGTGTTGCTGTCACAAAACCATAATTTTGGTTTACAGTTAGTCCTGCATTTGTGTGATTGACCCCTACCAATCCAATTTAATACACTTTAATCCATATGCATAACAACTATTGGGCTGAATTTAGCACAACACCAATATATTGTACATGTTGAATGTTGCGATTCAAAATCCATCTGCTTGTTTTTCAATGTTTTGTCTGTTTGTATTTTGTGTTTTCTCTGTTCTAGTCTGATATGTTTTACTGATTTTATATTTTGGAAACAATGACTTTTCAGATATTATTAGAAGAATTGTCCATGTCCTGTAAGTTTTAGTTAGCTAGCTACATGTACTCAGCAATGTTATGTTTTTTGTTCATCAAATTAATTTCGATAAGTTTATTTGCATAATATTGCTATCTAGAAATTTTCTTATTCAATGTTTATATGGATGATGTATAATTCAAATAACAGTAAAAAATCTTCTATATGTTCCATTATTTTCCTTTTTATTATGATAGTGGGGGATCCCTGAATTTTGTTCACCTTTGTTCTAATGTGTTCATTATTACATAGTGTTCAATATTCTGTGATATTTATTATTCCATAGTATTCCTTATTCCAAGGTGTTCTATATTCTACTTCTGGCATTTCTAATTCTATTAATGTCTCTCATTCCATAGTATTCCATATTCCATAATGTTATTCAATCCCTAGTTCTCCTTATTTCATATTGTTCCATATTTTAGAATGTTCCTTATATCAAAGTTTCTAATTTATTTACCAGGAATCTGAATCTGCAGAGGAATCCAGTGAAGCTGGGTCTGTCGTTGAAAAAATACCAGGTGAGAGAAATTACATAATATATAATTTACTCAATGATCAAATAGAATTATATTGGCCCATTATATGTAGAATGATACAGCAGAATGGGGATAATAATGTGTGAGATTTTGTGGAGAAATCATTCTGAGAAGTCAACTGCAAATAAATCAGAGTAGAAAAGTATTATATAGAGTATAAGGGTAATCAATGCATTAGCAGTGAATCTCTTTGTATTTCTCCTCCAAATCTCTTTGTATTTCTCCTCCAAATCTCTGTGTATTTCTCCTCCAAATCTCTTTGTATTTCTCCTCCAAATCTCAATTTTCCATACATTCAACTTATATGTAGTTGTATAGGGTTGTATGAATAGGTGATAGAATGAATACCATCATATTGGTGTGAAGTGGTGAGAGTATGTTTTGTGTCTGCTTATTGCGTGTCCTCATTTGGAATAAATCATGTATTTGTCATTTATTCATGTGTGTAATTTATTCATGTATGTGTAATTTATTCAGGGATTTATGTGAGACAACTGACTAATTGTGTGACCCATAACAAAATATGGTGCATTTTTGTGTGAAAATGTTTATCATCGCATAATTTGTCGTTCATATCAAAAGTTGTTTCAACTCATCCATCCAATAATGATAAGGACTGAATAATTGCTATTTGCTGATTGGATGCCCAGCTTATCCAAGATATTTACAACATCTTCTATTCTTAACCAGAGTTTATTCCAGCATGTAGATAGGTGTTTGAATGCCAGCACCTTACGTCTTGAGCAAAACAGAAATTTGAAGAATTTCTGCAACATGGCACTTGGATGAATTGTTTATGTGGGATATGTGCTGTTTGCTTACATGCTCTAAAAATGAATTATAATACCAATTTTGTACATTTTAGAGATTTTGGTTGCTTTATGAGCATTTGATACAGAAAAATTGTATGTAGCGTGTTGCCTATAACTGTGCTGTAAAAAGAGGGGGAATGGGCTGGGTTTTTGATAAGGTAAAAGTCATTCTTGAATCTGGGCACTTGGATTCACTTAATGAGAAACTTGAAATTGAATTTGAACATATTCAAGTACATATTCCAAGTGTTATGCCAATTTAGATCACCACTTGTACATAAAACACCAATTTTGAGCTGTTGGGAAATAACAAAATACATACACCCCCCTTTTGGCACATATTGCTTCATACAGATTTTCAGTCTTAAGTATAACAGGTGTTCACATGTTACGTCATACTAATGCTTTGCTTACCAACCCTGCTGCTATAGCGACAGAAAGGCCTCCGGATAGTTTCGGATCGCAAGAAATAACCCCACAATATGATGATCGTCGTCCAACCATAAAATCACCTTCAGCTGAAGAAGAAGCAGAAATATCGGCTAAGAAAAAAGCTGCTTATTTAACCCTTATAGACTCTCTCACTGACCAAATGGGTGGAGACGTTGAATATAAAGTTGAGACCGAAGATGACCATCAAGGTACCCACACTGCACTATATAGGGAATGACTCCTAACCTTGACCTTGTTTGCTTGTTTGTTTGTTTTATTTAATTGTTTGTTCATTTGTTTGTTTAACCAATTAATAAAATGCCGTTAATGTCATGATGTACTTTTTGAAATTTAGGGAAAAAACCTAAAGCCTCGATACCTAGACGATTTAATTCAAGGAGAGAAAGGGATAGAAAGACAATATGGCATTTTATATACAGAACCTTAGATAACTTTTGTTGACCTCTAGAGGTCACTAACAGTCCATTATTCTTATTAACAGCCTGTTATTGAAGTGTCACTGAGGTCATGTTTTAAACATTAAACATTTGAGGAAAGTGAAGTAAAGTGTCCCGGACATGATATTGAGTAAACAGTGTAATCTATGTATAAAGCAATATTGAGCAGTGATACAACCAAAACTTTTTCGCCACTCATTTTTAAAACAATGTGGGAAGCATTCTTATGAAGTTCATTGTTTTGTTTTTTTAACATTAAGAAGTAGAATTCATAAACATGACCGAGTGGCACTTTAAATATGGCTTATTAACAGAGCATGTTGGAATGCTTGTTTCGTTCCAATCAATAAGAATAAGTGAAATTCAAAATTGTTTATCTTCAGATGATCAAACTATATACTCAGCTTGAGCCAAATTCACACCGGAAGAGCCTGACTACGGTTAAGTCAGGGTTGAAATTAGAAATCTGAAAATATATTTATCAGAAATACCAAAAATACGAGCCTATTGAAAAAATCAAAAAGCAGTGCTTTGTTATCATGAATACAACTAAGAATCATATTACAACCTACAACTTACCATGTAAAAATGTTTAAGCCAAAAACTTCATCAGTTTTATAATAGAGATTGAACAAAAGAAACATCAGGAAAACAATGAAGACACCTGAATAGATGAAACACAACAAGGATATTTGTAAATGTTTTAAAATGTCTCAAATGAATATGAGTTCTGGTCAGAATCATATCCTTAAAATTTAAGGGCCATTAACATACCATGCTTACAAAAAGTTTTGTTCCGGAAATTATGAAACAATGTTTTATATTGTAACAACAAATTACTGTCTTTCTCCATTTAATTATCATATGATATTGCTGTTGTAGATATAGTCTAACATTCTCACATATTTCTGTTCATGATTTGTGTCTTGTTTGTGCTTGTTATTTTAGCTATCACTGACTGCCATAGGATTTCATTCACAACTCATGGAAGATTATGCTACAATCATCATGTTTTAAAACATAAAGAAGAAAAGAGGGCAATTTGCGAGAAATAAACCAAACAGCAGTTAAAACTCCAAATCGTATAGAAATGTCAGAATATTAGATACTTACTCAACGTTTAGGGAAAATGAAATAGAATAAACGTTACCGTACTTCTCAGTGACAGATGCACCATATGTTTTAAGATATGATACAGCATGGGCTTTCAACATTCCCTTGAAAGCCCATGGATAAAGTGATATCGGATAATAGAAATGGGTGTGAATGAACAGAAGCATGAAATGCTAACTGAAAGAATTATTGGTTGCATTAACTGAGTTATATTTTTTGCATGTTTATATTGAGAATGTTATGTTATGCTTTATTTTCAAGCTGTACTCTATGAAAGCTGTACATGTCTGTATAAAGCTGCATATTTCAGTATAAAGCCGTACATGTCAGTATAAAGCTGTACATGTCAGTATAAAGCTGCACATTTTAGTATAAAGCTGCACATGTCAGTATAAAGCTGCACATTTTAGTATAAAGCTGTACATGTCAGTATAAAGCTGCACTTTTTAGTATAAAGCTGTACATGTCAGTATAAAGCTGCACTTTTCAGTATAAAGCTGTACATGTCAGTATAAAGCTGCACATTTAAGTATAAAGCTGTACATGTCAGTATAAAGCTGCACTTTTCAGTATAAAGCTGTACATGTCAGTGTAAAACTGCACATATCAGCATGAAACTGAAAAATACAAGGGTTGTACTTATACATACTAACATATAAGATTTAACAGCCAATGTCTCAGATTATTGTAATTCCACATGAATGTTCTTATACATCCCATCTCATGATTATTATGACCATGTTACCATAGTATTTCCTCACCTAGTAACCTAGCAACAGTTCATTGTGTTACATTCATCAGTAATACTATGAAATTCTTATATAACTGTTCTGACCCATAACAAGTGTTGGTTTATGTACATTACAGAGCAATGATTTTCCTGTTTTATCTGTTTTATTGCTCTTAGCAACCATTATCAAATACACCCATCGTAATAACCCTTAATTCAATGTATCCCACAGTTCTCAGGCTTTGTTGCCATAGCAACTGACACCAGTTTTGCAGTGTGTTCTGCATCACATTTTACTAACTCGCATGGTTGTGTTTTACAGAGACCATTCCTGAAGAGGAACCAATTTCGAAATCTGAAAAAGAAGCCGCTCAGGAAGATTTTATTGAAAAAGTTGAGGGCATGGATGTTTCGATGGGCATGGATGACCGCATGCCCTCTTCAAGCAGTGAAGATTCATTACATGACAAAGGTACATAATTGACCAATAGGTGGCCAACACATTGTGATGTCACTGGTGATGCATGATGCGCCTCTGTCTAACCCAAGCTGCATGTTACTCTCGTTTTAATACACTGAATACTATGTCATTAATAAACCTAACAAGTTTGTTCTGTTTTAGCATGCTAGTATATGTATATCAATAATTTATCTTTTGGTTTCAGTAGTTCTATAAATCTAACATGTGCTTTGTATGTCCTGTAGTATTTCATATTTTTGTTTGTTTGTTTTATGTTTAACCATGGGCTTTCAACTAGTTGAAAGCCCATGGTTTAACAATGTCATTTCTATAAACTAATCCAAATTATTGATTTTTTAGTAATTATTAATATTTCGTATGATCTTCAAAAGAGAAATTAGAAAAGTGAACAGACTTGACTCTAAATTGTGTAGAAATGCAATTAGACCCTTCATTTAGAATTAAGTGACACATTGATATGCTTAGGAGACACATTAACACCATTAAAAGACACATTAACACCACTAATGCATGTAGAGTTACAAGTAGGACTATGGAGATGTTTAGCATTTAATATTTGTGTACTTAGTTATACCCAGTGATGTGTTTTCTTTAAATTTAATTTATGTAATCAAACAAAAAATAATTAACATCTTATTCTGAGTGGAGCATTTATTTTGAGTGAAGTCTATTCTGAGTGAAGGCCTTTATTTCACTTGAAGCCTTTAATCTGAGTGAGACCTAGATTTTGTGTGAAGATTTTATTCTGAGTGTGTTTAGTTCGTTTGTTTTGTTATAACATGTATTGTATTCCACATTGTTTGTGCTGTGTTCACCACCTCATCAAATGGCTACCTATTGTTGAAATGAACATTTGAATATACACAATAATCTCATAACAGCGAATTTTGTAACAATTTAAAAGTGAGACTATCAATCAGAGGCAAGAATTGGCTCATTAAAGTGTCAACATATCCGGATGAAATAGATCCATTCCGGATTTGGAAATTATAAAAATGGAATTAAAGTTACCTATTTATTACATTTTTAGCAGCATGCTTTTGCTTTATGTATACCAAATATGGTCATATTGCCATATATGGTCGGAGTGTTCCTATCCATTTGCATGCATGGAGTTTTCTAAGCATGTTACGTGTTACTAACTGATGTGTTACAGACAAACAAGGAAGAGACCGTGGTGCTAGAGCTACTACTAAGACTCCTCCCCCCTCCCCATCAGCTGTTGAAGGTACATCCCTTAGGCAATTATATATCCTTAGTTTTAGGAGCTCACATATACATGTGTAGTTCCTAAAAGTTAGGAAATCATTGTTCAGCCACTATCCATGAATTTGATGAATTTGAAAAATCATGTTTGGATGTGACTAAATGGTAAAGAAAGAAACTTCACATTAAGGAACTGTAGTTACACCAAGTTCCAAGATATGTATTATTAAGAACATATTAAGGTTTTTCACCAATGACTTGGATAGTGTCTCACTCAGTAATTAGTAATCGCCAAATTAATATTCCATGTCTAATACTAACGTTTGTAGCTTGAACACATTCCATGGCCAAAATGTCAAGATGGTGGTATTATAACAAGGAAAATACAGTGAAAAATGATGAAATTAGTAAGGAACGAAATAAACAGGAGTGAAGTGAAACTGAAAACTGAAAACGGAAAAATCATGGCCGACATTTTAGACATGAATGTTGTTATATTAACCCGTCCTAACAAAACTGAATATGTATGGCAATTCTGCAACTAATCCATTATTAGTGTACAACATACTTAGTATAGCTGTTTTTCTCCTACCAGAACTGTAATGATTTAATCCATGTTAAACATTATGTGGAACTAGTTATATTATGACTAAAATAGAGTGGGATATCCTTGTCATGGTCAAATTAGCATAGGATGATTCATGTTATTACTAGGTTTCCAAAGTGTGTGTGAAAGATGTGTGAGTGAAATGGAAGTGCAATTTTAGCAGACTTGTTAATTTTTTTCTCTTAGTCTGTATTAAATATTTTTATATATATTATGTACATGTATGTAGCAGACAAATATCTCGAAATTCTGTTACAATCTGCAATGTTTATGATATCTGTAAAACCATTAATGTTTCTTTTGTATGTCACATTTCATATCATATCTATCCAAATATTATTGGATTACCTCAAAAGTATTACCTCATACTTTGAGTATTACCTTATACTTTGAGTATTACCTTATACTTTGAGTATTACCTTATACTTATCATGGCATGCAAATTGCATCATCACTTTAAACTTGTCATGTCATTTTCAAATTGAGTTCAAGCCAATGCACTGTTTGCCAATGAGCAGAACTGAGCTATTTTACTTTTGAAAATTTGACTTCTGTTCTGTTGCAGTGCAAACATTTCACTTTGATTCGCTTTGATTTGAAATGAATAATGTTGTAGAAATTCCAAAACCACTTCGCATACTTACAATTCACAATATACATTTCACAATAATATCAGGCATTCTATGTTATATAAGGAAATGCATATCATATCAATGCATGTCATTTGTTTGTTTGGGCCACATGTAACAAATTATATATCTTGAATTTCAAGTACATGTATGCTCTAACAGACATCTTACTGCAATATACCAGTTATTGTACGGTCAGCTTTGGATATAGGGCTCATCCTTTCTGTCCATTGGTAGATATAGATATTTTGACTTCTGGAATATAAGCCCTCTATACCAAACCTTCCAGTACAGTACCTTTATGTTTTAGCACTGATTCTTGTATGTATTTGAGTCACAATTTGTTTGTTTGTTTATCTCCTACCCGCACATATAAGGAGCTAGCCCCGAATCTGAAACATCCGAAGAACAAGAAGTTGAAGAAATATTTGACGGAGAAAAATGGGTGACCATCCGTAAAGTTACTCATAAAATCAAAAAAGTTAAAACTACCACTAAAGTTGTAGAAGGTATAAACTACCACAATATGCATGATGATATGTCCATGTGTGTCAGCATTTTTGATATTTCAGTTCTACTTGTATATATGTAAATTTATATATTAATGTCTTTTGTCATTAATATTATATATCTAAGCCATCTCAAAATAACTTTTGACTGCTACTGTCAGGGATATTACTGACTGATTTTTCAGTACAGTTTTATTCTTTGCATAAAAATAACAAAAATATTTTTGAGTTGGCTGATTTATTTTATTTTTTCTGTCTTCTGCTTCTTTTTCAGATGTAACACCGGCTTTTGTAACTGTAACCACATTTATTTTGTAACATTTATTGTGTGACTCACTTGTAGTGTGACCTCACATATTCTACTATCATTTTTTGGTAATTCATAACCAAGATGTTGTATATTTCAGTAAATATTTTATACTAGATTGTATATTTGTGTTGTTTTGGCAACTGATTTTAGATTTTTCATTTCATTCGAGAATTTTTGTAAATTGCAACACAGAACCTTGGACAAAATGTTATCAAGCATTAACTAAAACTAATTAATCAGCTTGCTCATCTCCGATTCTCACTTTTTGAGATTAAGTCTGAACATTGGCACCTTTTAAATTTAACTCATTTTATACAAAACGTTTTAACAAAGTATTTTTATTTACAAAAAAGTGTTGTAGTTTCATAATTCTCCATCAATCAGGAAGCAGTGTGAGTGAATTTTCTGAGAACTGCATTAGAGTGAAAAAATTCTAGAAAAAACTGAAATCCATGGAGTACAAATAATTGGGAAGATACATGTATGCAGTCATAATTGGAAAGAAACCAAACATTTTTTAATGTGATAACGACAGAGAAAGCTTGATATGGTTTTAGATGTTTTCATAATGGTGCTTTAGATGTGTGTGTGAGTGTATAATCAGTGTAATCCCATAGTAGTACCAGTAGTAGACCATAGGTGTTGTTATAACCAATATTTTACAAAGTGTGCCTCATGATATCACATGCATACTTCATGATATTATACCTGTGCTTCATGATGTCACTTTTGTATTTCAATCATGATGCCACATTTGTGTATCATAATGTCACATTTGTATTTCATGATCTGTATTTCATGATGTCACTCATGTACTTCATGATGTTACATCTGTGCTTCATGATGTCACATTTGTATTTCATGATGTCACTCATGTACTTCATGATGTTACATCTGTGCTTCATGATGTCACATTTGTATTTCATGATATTTATTTCATGATGTCACTCATGTACTTCATGATGTTACATTTGTGCTTCATGATGTAACATTTGTATTTCATGATCAGTATTTATACTAGAACTAGTGGGGTGTGTTGTATCATTATTGATAATTGGAAAATACCAGAACATATTGTTTGACATTATCATATATATAGAGACCATGTATTTGAAATGAGATTGTTTGATAAAATCTTTTATATAATACAGTTCATCTCAAATAATTACATCTCATCTCTGTAAATGCTATCATACAATTAGTTTATATTTTAGTCACCGGTAATAAGGTTATTGTTTATTCATTAGTATGTAGTTTGTTCTTACATGGGTGTCAATGTTGTTGTACTTCTAGAAGTGTCTGAGCCAAAGGTGGAGGAAGTGGTCGCTAAATTAGCAGAGTCAGAGGCCTGGCAATCCAGCGAGGAACTCGATGAACGACCACCCATCATCAAAGGTACACAATGAGCATGTTAACATTGTTCACATTGTGTACAAAATTATATACACTCACTTTGAGTAGGTTGAGTAGCAAAAGTTAGCCCACTTGTCCAGGGTTGAGTAATTCGTTTCATCTCTATTTTATTCTACAAGGCTCTGAATTCTCGGGTAAAATTGTTGTGTTTTTCAACTTATTGTAGACGATATAAAATTTTAGTCGAAGAATCATATATAAGACTTTAAAAGATGAAACTACAATTTTTCTGAATTCGAAGCCTAGAATATACATAGAACAGCTTGGACCATGGGATATACACTGTAGCAGTATATTGTTTTAGTTTTTAGTACACAGATGTTAATTTCATATTTCACATTGTGGGCTAACTTGGGCTTTTGGCTAAAGCATCAACCTTGGATGTATTGGAACTGAACCTAGCTGAATCTATCAGAAAATCTGATATTTGGACTCTTCTTTTAACAAACTTTATGTTTGATCCTTCTATGATACATTTTGTTGAAACCATTAATTTAAATCAATTATACCAATTCATTTATGATAAATTAATATCTATATTGTTTTATTTCTTGTCTCGTTCGTTTGATTATTTTCATTTGTTAATTTTGTCTGTAACTGTGTATTAAGTTTATATTGTAAGTGTCACTTTATTACATGTATGCCAAAAAAGATAGAAATCCACCTATGTGTTTGTAGAAACTCAATGTCAAAACATCATCATATGTATCTTAGATATTATATAGCAATGCATGATGCAAAATATATTAGATGTTCATTCAAATTTTCGTTTTTTGGTTTTTGGTTTTAATAGCATGTATAGGTACAGCATTTTTGGGGCTATTTATTGAAGTTATGGTTCTTCATTCTATGAAATTCAATTGTGCTTCCATATTGTAAAATCACAAAACAAATCAGATGAATTTAGGAAATTTGAAGAATGTTACTTCATAGCAGCCCCATACTAAGCTTAAACCTTGTACAAAATATTGCAAGTAGGATATTCTAATTTGGAGGGAGCAAATTTTCAACTGCTGCTCATTATGCAGAGATACATTGTATCAATTTTGATTTGAGGGATCATAGTCTCCTAAAGGAGTTCATCCTTCATTGTCAAACCCTGTGGAACTTTGTTGAGTTCTTCAAAATTAATTTACATTGCAATATTTGGTATTTTAATATGAGCATGCCCCGCAAATAGAAATATAAACCCTGCTGCATTCTTCATTAATAAGCTAAAGCTACCAACTTGAATATCCCACAAAAGAGTCCTACCCTTTTACTCAATTGATTACTGACAGTATTCAAGGAATCAAGAGAAATTAACAAGATAAAAGCATGAAATTAACACTTGATTATACTGAAATAGTCCTTCAAACCCCTCTTACTATTAACAACCTGTTTTTTTGTTGGTTGATAAGGAGCTAGTAAATAGAATCTGTTCAATTTCTGGGATACATGAATGAACAGACAGTAACTTCAACATTATCATGAAGCCATTTCAATGCACAATTTACAAATGCAACAAATTCATTGGGTCTTCTTTTTGATTTTTTGTAAATATTCAGTATTTCCAAACTCTCTCAGTGAAATTGTAAAATTAGAATGGCTTCATGGAAGTGTTGATTGTTTTTGTTCCTTTTTTGATTATATGGCGTCATTTTTTGGTTTTGGTTTCCATCAAGCAGCTTTAGCAATATGCATGATATTTCATTTGGCAGCACAACATTATTTGAGTTCAAGCCATACAGGGTGTCTAATGATTTATGAGACTGGACTCTGTGACACTAACCATTTCAGTTACAGCACTTTTCTCATTCTTTATGGGACACTCTGTATATACTCGTGCATCCACATTTTATTTAGGGTTAGGTATCTTACATTTGAAACAGTATATTTTCTCTAATATTTGCATTTCGGACACAGACAATTTCTGCAATCATAATTTATGTTAAATGTAATTCCAATCATTTTTAAGCAGTTATGCAATTTCATTTTTATGGAATTCCATGGCTTATCACAAAATACTTCAAATTATTGGGCTTTATCAGTCATTCTTCTGACTCGAGATTACATAATTTTTGGAGATGAACGAATGAACAAGTATTTTCATTTTCTTATTGCATATTAAGTTCTTGCATAGTTAAGTTATATCAGCATGCAACTGCATACTGTTACTATAAACCAAGTGAAGTTCAAGGAAAATGAATTCAGTGTTTTCAACAAGAACCACTTGGATTTTACAAACCTTGAATTTTGCTGTTTTAGGTTATAATTATTGCAGCTTTGTTTTTAAAGATTCTGTTATGTACATTATATTATGATTTAGTTAGATTTAATGTACACTGACTGATTTTAAGATATTCACTGCAAATATGCTTGGATCTGATGCTTTCAAAGTTGCGTAAAGGTCGTTTACTCATCTTATAGTATGTCCTTGTTGAGGAAATGGTCTCATGTCTGGTATGAGTAGAGATACTCATATCTTGGTTGAGTATAGATACTCATGTCTAGTATGAGTATAGAGTATAAAAACATATCCCAGCTTCCTTGATTCATGTGTTAAAAGGTTAGAGGTTTTACACTGCGCAAGCCAAGAAATCGTTGATGCCACATGACCACATTTAACCAAATATGGTCATGTGATCTTGGTTTGCAGTAAGTGGACATGCTGTGAAAACATTTTAGATTTAACAGATAAAGATTTTTGGAAGATACACTAAACTAGTGTGTGTGCAAGGAACTGATATAAAAATTTCCTAAATCAGTTTTTTCATAGATGAAAAGGCTTGATGTTGAAAAAGACCTGCTTATATTGGTTCTTACTAATAAAATGCTTATATTGAATGCTTATTATAAAAAGATGCCATGAAAAGTTGATTTAGGCTTACTTCACAAATGCAAACCGCTGAGTTTACCTATACATGATTTATTTATAATTAAAAAGTGTTATTTGTATATCGCTTCGGCTTATAAAAAACGAAGTACTGATTTGAATTTATCTTTGAGTTGCTTGTAATCAGTACAGGTCTGTAGTGTATAACATAACTCTATTTACAGTAATTAAGTAATCCTTCTCTTGGCTTTGGCATGTCTTGGATTTTCACTAGCTCACAGGCACCTTTTGCATACATACATAACCTGAAGATCCTGAAATAGGTGGTAGCAACTAACACAAGGGAAGATGTATGTCTTCACTGGATTTTGGCATGATCTTCATTGAAATAGGGGTCTATTGAGCATTATCATAAAGGCCTAGGTGGATTGCTATCATAATATGATATATAAGTGCTTCAAGAGCATTTTGTCCATGTCTTGTATGTATGTGATAATTAACAGTATGTGCCATACTCTTAGCCTTCACTTGGTATATGATTTACAGAAGAACCTATGTCTGTCCCTGAACCAGATGAAGTTGATATTCACACAGAAAGAACAGTTGGAGAGCCTGAAACTGAAACCTATGAAGATGAGGTAGAAGAAACTCTGCCTGATGGTACTGTTGTGAAACGTAAAATTATTAGAACTAGGACCGTGACTCGTGTTACTGAAAGGACCACCATTGAAGGTGTTGACACTGATATTACACGACCTGATGAGCCTGATAGCACAGATGCTGGTGAACCTGAGCCAGTTGTTATTGAGGAGGTTCCAACTGAACAGTTCGAAGCACCACCATCTGCTCCTTCTACTGAGGAAGCATATCAAGAACAACAACCTGAACCTGAACAATTTGAAGAACCAGCAGCTCTTGAGTTGTCTTATGAGCGGCCAGAGCCCGAACCTGAACAGTTTGAAGAACCACCAGCTCTTGAGTTATCTTATGAGCGACCAGAGCCCAAACCTGAACAGTTTGAAGAACCACCAGCTCCTGAGGTGTCTTATGAGGAACCAGAGCCTGAACCTGAACGAATCACTGAAGATATCATCATGGGAGAACCAGAGGAAGATGTGGATGTTGAAGAGATTGAAGAAACTCTTCCTGATGGCACTATTGTTCGACGTAAAATAATCCGTAAAAAGGTGACCCAACTTGTCACTAAAAGAACAATTATAGAAGGTGGGGAAGCTCCAGAGATTCCTGATGATATGGAGCCTGAGAGCCAAGAGGAGTTCAATGAGACCCTGGATGATGGCACAGTTGTCCTTACTAAAGTCTTTGTGTACAGATTTGACAACATGATAATTAAGAAGATCTTACGTACCTACCCAGATGGACAACAAACTGAGGACATCATGGTTGAAGAACTACCAGGTGAACCAGAAATAATTGAAGTAGAAGAACCTGCTCAGGAGACTGAACCTTCTGAACCACCATCAGAGGTCACTGACTCTGGCTTGAATGTTCAACGTACTGGCGATCTAAGAATCTACTCTGATGTTATTGAAGGTGAACCAACAGAAGATGTTGAGGTTGAAGAGTTCACAGAAGAGCTCCCAGATGGCACTCTTGTCAAGCGTAAAGTGACCAAAACCAAACAGCGTCAGCTGGTTACTAAAAGGACAGTGATCGAGGGCCATGAAGGTGAGGTTCTAGCTGGTGACTTCCCAGAAGGCATGTTCCCCGAAGGTGATGTCAAGGTCTACACATCAACAGAGGCTAGCGAACCCCAGACTGACCAAGACTATGAGGAATATGAGGAGACCTTACCCGATGGCACGGTCGTCAAACGCCGTGTGGTCACCAGTAGATCACAACAGATGGTGAAACATCGCATCTTAATGGATGGCTCAGATCTTCAATACCCAGAAGGCAGTGAACCTGTGGAATATGAAGACACCCAGCAGAAAGGTAGTAAAGAATCAGAAGTGTGAAGTATTCACGGCGCATGGCCACTGGCGGCAGATCCACCTGCTTCTTATTATGAATTATGAGTTATAACATCACTGGACTATACCACATACAAACTGTAGCAGCTATATATGTGTATTTTGTTGCTTGGCAAGCTTGATGTTGTGCAGAATCGTGGCATATGAACTATATAGACATTGTTGATTGATCTTTGTTTGAAAACACCATGGGCTGATGATGGTGCACAGAAGTTTGCTTTGATGCATGGGATGTTGTTAGACTGAGAATGTGTTCACGCCCCCAAGCTCATTAAATGAGTATCCCTTTGTTAGAATATCATAGTGGTCATTGCTTAGATTATAAGATAGAGTATAAAAGCGAGGAATAAGCTTCAAATGAAGTAAACAGGCATGTAGCCAAAATTCTGAATTATACTGAAATGGTAAAATATCTGGTGCTTTCTGAAAATATTAATGAGAAGTTGATTGGAATAAGCATGACTATAGTGAGATTTTAATCAAGGGATTACTTATTATATCACATTGATACCTTCGTTGTTTCAACATGTCTCATAATTTCCTTACATTTCATATACTTCATAATATTATTTTCAAATTTTACATTTGCTATATAGAGTAGATTTTGTTTCCCATTTAAGGCTATTACTACATTTGAAGCTTTATTCCTTTCAATGGATGTTAACATCCCAGGAAATATTTTTCGCAAATAGCAAAGTGCAAACTCCGAGGATGATCTTGTTTTGAAAAATTTAGATATTTAAACTATGAAATGTTTAATATGAACCCTTACTTGTAGTAGGCTATTTGATGGTATTTGATTACCCTATCTTTAATTTTGATTCATAAATTTTTCAAATTCAAACAAGGAAAAACTTGACCATCATGAGGAGTCTAAATGAATTTTTGATTTTGATCAATGTAGAAATGAAATGTAGATGTTGTCGTTTTTCTTGTCTGTTCTATTATAATGTATTATTATCAGTTAATATTTTACATCATTTTTAGTTTGCCTTTAATATTAGATCTTATGCCAATTATACCAATGTTATCATTTCAAAAGTTATTAAAAGGTGAATGGTAAGAAAATAATAATAAAATTATATTATACAAACATAAACAATTTTATTTGTGTTAAATATACCAAGTATATCAAAGAAAGTTGAATTAGAGTAATGCTAACTATGCATCTTTAGATATGAATGGCCATGCATAGCTGTAGTGGTAAAATAAATGGTAAGTTTTGTGGACCAACTCTGATCCCTTCACCCTATACAGTTAGTTTAACATGAAAGACCATCATAATAAAATTGACATTGGCTTTGGAATTCAGTAAAGACGTTATTAATGATTATTTTTATTTTAATTCCACTAAATGTCCACAAAACTATCATATGGAGATACACTGTATAGTAGTCATGCTTCTTGCTGAAAAAGCATGAGATTCTGAGGTAATAATAACCAAGGTTTTATAAACTAAATTACATCAGATAAAGATAAAATTGTGTATTGCTGTTTTGTAATATAGCCACAGAGGCTGACCAGATCGTTCCTGCTTTTGATGAGCCACGGCAGACACCTGTTGAGGAAGCCATTCCAGTTGATGAGCAAATGGTCCAGGAAACTGCCCCACAGCCTGAAGAAGACGCACCACGTGAGGACATACCATTGGAGGAAGAACGACCTGTTGAAGTTGAGGAAGTTCAGAAACCAACTGAGGAACAAGAACAAGTTGTTCCTGAACCACAAGAGCCATTTATTGAAACAGAAACTATCACTGGTGAACCAGAAACTGAAACATTTGAAGATGAATTTGAAGAAACATTACCTGATGGAACAGTAGTAACTCGAAAAGTCACACGCACAAGGACAGTGACTAAAGTAACGCAACGAACCACAATGGAAGGATTTGAAGATCAGTTTGAACCAGAAAGACCAGTTGAGGAACAGTTTGAACCTGAACAAATTCCTGAACAGGAAAGTCAACCAATCATTGATGAACAATTTGAACCTGAACAAATCCCTGAACAGGAAAGTCGACCAGTTGTTGATGAACAATTCGAATCTGAACAAATCCCCTCGAGAGAATCTGAACCATTGGAAGAATATCCAACAGAGCCAGAATTAACAACAGAAACTATTACTGGTGAACCAGAAACTGAAACATTTGAAGATGAATTTGAAGAAACTCTTCCTGATGGAACAGTAGTAACTCGAAAAGTCACACGTACAAGAACAGTGACTAAAGTAACGCAACGAACCACAATGGAAGGATTTGAAGACGAGTTTGAACCTGAAAGACAAGTTGAGGAACAATTTGAACCTGAACAAATTCCTGAACAGGAAAGTCAACCAATCATTGATGAACAATTTGAACCTGAACAAATTCCTGAACAGGAAAGTCAACCAATCGTTGATGAACAATTTGAACCTGAACAAATCCCTGAACAGGAAAGTCGACCAGTTGTTGATGAACAATTCGAATCTGAACAAATCCCCTTGAGAGAATCTGAACCATTGGAAGAATATCCAACAGAGTCAGAATTAACAACAGAAACTATTACTGGTGAACCAGAAACTGAAACATTTGAAGATGAATTTGAAGAAACTCTTCCTGATGGAACAGTAGTAACTCGAAAAGTCACACGTACAAGAACAGTGACTAAAGTAACGCAACGAACCACAATGGAAGGATTTGAAGACGAGTTTGAACCTGAAAGACAAGTTGAGGAACAATTTGAACCTGAACAAATTCCTGAACAGGAAAGTCAACCAATCGTTGATGAACAATTTGAATCTGAACAAATCCCAGAGCAGGAAAGGGAACCAGTTGTTCAGGAACAATTTGAACCTGAACAAATTCCTGAGCAAGAAAGGGAACCAATTTTTGATGAACAATTTGAACCTGAACAAATCCCAGAACAGGAAAGTCGATCAATTGTTGATGAACAGATTGAGGCTGAACAAATTCCTGTGAAAGAGTCTGAACCATTTGTAGAATATCCATCAGAGCCAGAAATAACAACTGAAACTATCACTGGTGAACCAGAAACTGAAACATTTGAAGATGAATTTGAAGAAACTCTTCCTGATGGAACAGTAGTTACTCGAAAAGTCACACGTACAAGAACAGTGACTAAAGTAACCCAAAGAACCACAATGGAAGGATTTGAAGATGAATTTGAACCAGAAAGACCAGTTGAGGAACAGTTTGAACCTGAACAAATCACTGAACAGGAAAGTCGACCAATAGTTGAGGAACAGTTTGAACCTGAACAAATTCCTGAACAGGAAAGTCAACCAATCGTTGAGGAACAATTTGAGCCTGAACAAATTCCAGAGCAAGAAGGGGAACCAATTGTTGATGAACAATTTGAACCTGAACAAATCCCTAAACAGGAAAGTCAACCAATTGTTGAGGAACAATTTGAACCAGAGCAAATGCCTGAACAGGAAAGTCGACCAGTAGTTGAGGAACAATTTGAACCTGAACAAATTCCCGAGCAGGAAAGTCAACCAATTGTTGAGGAACAATTTGAATCTGAACAAATCCCTGTTAGAGAAACTGAACCATTTGTAGAATATCCATCAGAGCCAGAAATTACAACAGAAACTATCACTGGTGAACCAGAAACTGAAACATTTGAAGATGAATTTGAAGAAACATTACCTGATGGAACAGTAGTAACTCGAAAAGTCACACGCACAAGGACAGTGACTAAAGTAACTCAACGAACCACAATGGAGGGACCTGAAGATGAGTTTGAACCAGAAAGACCAGTTGAGGAACAGTTTGAATCTGAACAAATTCCTGAGCAGGGAAGTCAACCAATAGTTGATGAACAATTTGAACCTGAACAAATTCCCCAGCAAGAAAGGGAACCAGTTCTTGAGGAACAGTTTGAACCTGAGCAAATTCCTGAACAAGAAAGAGAACCAATTGTTGATGAACAATTTGAATCTGAACGAATTCTTGAACAGGAAAGTCAACCTATTGTTGATGAAAAATTTGAATCTGAACAAATCCCTGAACAGGAAAGTCGACCAGTTGTTGATGAACAATTTGAATCTGAACAAATCCCCTTGAGAGAATCTGAACCATTGGAAGAATATCCATCAGAGCCAGAATTAACAACAGAAACTATTACTGGTGAACCAGAAACTGAAACATTTGAAGATGAATTTGAAGAAACTCTTCCTGATGGAACAGTAGTAACTCGAAAAGTCACACGTACAAGAACAGTGACTAAAGTAACGCAACGAACCACAATGGAAGGATTTGAAGACGAGTTTGAACCTGAAAGACAAGTTGAGGAACAATTTGAACCTGAACAAATTCCTGAACAGGAAAGTCAACCAATCGTTGATGAACAATTTGAACCTGAACAAATCCCTGAACAGGAAAGTCGACCAGTTGTTGAGGAACAATTCGAATCTGAACAAATCCCCTTGAGAGAATCTGAACCATTGGAAGAATATCCAACAGAGCCAGAATTAACAACAGAAACTATTACTGGTGAACCAGAAACTGAAACATTTGAAGATGAATTTGAAGAAACTCTTCCTGATGGAACAGTAGTAACTCGAAAAGTCACACGTACAAGAACAGTGACTAAAGTAACGCAACGAACCACAATGGAAGGATTTGAAGACGAGTTTGAACCTGAAAGACAAGTTGAGGAACAATTTGAACCTGAACAAATTCCTGAACAGGAAAGTCAACCAATAATTGAGGAACAATTTGAACCTGAACAAATGCCTGAACAGGAAAGTCAACCAATTATTGATGAACAATTTGAATCTGAACAAATCCCAAAGCAGGAAAGTCGACCAATAGTTGAGGAACAATTTGAATCTGAACAAATCCCAGAGCAGGAAAGTCAGCCAAAAGTTGATGAACAATTTGAGCCAGAGATAAAAACAGAAATAATCACTGGTGAACCAGAAACTGAAACATTTGAAGATGAATTTGAAGAAACTCTTCCTGATGGCACAGTAGTAACTCGTAAGGTTACACGTACCAGAACAGTCACTAAAGTTACAGAGCATACAACTGTAGAAGGCTTTGAAGATCAGTTTGAAAGTGAGAAAGAACAACCCATCGATGAGCAGTTGGAACTGACAGAGGTTCCTGCCGAGGAGAGCCAGCCTGTTGTTGAGGAGGAGGTTGCACCAGAAGCTGTTAAAGAAGAAGAGCTGTCTCCATATGCTGTTGAGCAAGTGCTAGACAATGAAGGCCTTGAAGAGGTTGTTAAAGATGCTCCGGAAGAAGGTATTAAGCATCATTAAGTGCATGTATATCCTGCTTACAATCAACCCAACATTTGACTCATCTGAACATTTCTTAGACTTCCATTTGACCATCCTAGGAATGCTAACATTGACATCCTGCTTAACATTGACATCCATCTAATGTTGACATCTGTCTAACAGGTTCCTCTGTCATTTATTATCCAGGAAAAGAAACATCCCTGCTTTATCATACTAAGTGTATTTTCACCATCACACTGCCATACAAGGCTTCAGGAACATATTTATTTTGCTTATATATTTTTTATTTATTTTGTATTTTTGACTGCGGAAAAATAACTGAACACTCATCATATCGTGTTGAAATGTTGGAGTGTTACAGAAAAGCTCATAGAAGTGGGGTTATTTATTGAAAAATATCTTGTTTCAAAAATTTATAATGATGTTTTTGCAACAACTTTTGGTTCTATAGAAATCAGCTATTTCCATATTTCTTACTATCAAAAATGATATTTAAATTATGATCGTTGTAAAATTTTGAACAAGATTGCTTATTTTATGCTTAACATAAAATCTTCATATTTTTGTGACATGGTTTCCAGAAATAAATTAGTAACCATCACTTAATTTCTGGACAGCCTGTATTGCATCATACAGACACAATTATGATAACAATCAAAACGTAATACATGTATAACAGAGCCATCTACATTAATACATTAACAAAGTGTCACTTGGTCAACTTTAGAAATCCAAAATAGAATGGACATCAGAATAAATAAGCAAGGACTAAGAGTAAACAACATGGATTTGATTCTCTAATTTGAAGAAATAAATCTTAAAATCATATATACAGGGTGTCACAGATAAATACCAAGAATTAAACATGACCAAATGCCATTTTAATTACTGAATTTCACCTAAAATCATATTTTTTATAAACAGATACTATTATTTATTATAGATGAGTTATGCATGGCTTTCATAGATATGTTCATCAAACTAAACATCATTTGTTACTTTTAAATCTGTTAATATATTTATTTATTTATGTGTATACACAATATGTTCATAGTTCTAACATGACTCTGCAATAGGAGTTAGCGTAAAACTTGCTGAAGATTTTTACCTACATCTCATTCTGTAATTTCTGGTAACAGGAGGTGATTACCCATGATTAAGTGTAGTGCACCTCCTGTGCTGTACAATGTGATGTAGTCTTGCATGGTCATGTTAGAATATCTTCGAACATCTGAAAAATTGCAGAATTTAAAATTAATAGTCATATAATTTGACAATATCTATAAAAGTGTAAGGACTTAGTTTAAAATCGATTATATTGATTATAAAATTAATTGAAAAGTACATGATCTTAGCTAGGTTAAATGTAAAGAATACAAAGTTGTCTGATGGTTTTCTAAGTCATCATCCAAGCTGATTCTGTGTGCATGCAAATGATTGATTGAATGAATTCTCCACAAATACACATTACTGAACCATATTAAATGCTTAAATGCAACACTTGTCATGTGTGTTCCATTCCCACAGTGCCTAAGCGTTACACACAAAACTAAATATATTGCCATATAATGTCCACGCATATATCAACTTATTTTTTAGTTTTTTTATATATGCAATGCACATTCCTTGTTACTTCCAAATCATTTAAAAATCTCAGAAGTTTGTCTCTTCTGGATTATATAATGCTTATCCGCAGTGATTCCATTTTCAAATGATCAAAGTATCCGATTTTTGAGTCATTACCTGGTTTTAGGTAATCTTTAGGCCTACAGTTTTAAGGATTTATTCCTTGCCAATTTGTCCTTTTTGCAATTTTGCACTTAAAAACATGATACTTGTTACATTTTAGGCATTTTGTACATAGATTGG